CCTGCACCTTCGCCAAATCCAAATCCAGCGTGAAAGCATCCACGCGCTGCCTCTTTGCAGCTGGCTGCTTGGGCAGCTGCAACCCTTCCGTGTACGGCTGTTCGGCAAAGAGAAGAACAACTCGCTCGCAATCTGCATGTAGTGACCTTGCTCGGTCGTTGTTGATCACGCAGAAGCCCTTGATCATGGTGCCATACACGCGCCTTACAATTGCGCACATTGCACACCAACTCAGTCGCTCAGAAAGGCTTGCTGGATCACACGACATATGTACACTGCATGCTGCTCCATTAAGCGAGTCAGCTGGTTTGCATGCAAGGCACAGAGTCAGCGGCTTGCTCGTTTTTGGGCCGTGGTCTTCAAGAAGGCGCTCCACACGGTGCTGCACATTTAGATCCGTCTGCCGCTTGCGCGTTCTTACGGCCGAAGTTGCTGCAATCCAAGCATCTTGCCAAAGGTCCTGGTGGATGTTGAATTGTAGGTCCATATCTTCCTGTCGTATCGTAGTCCACAACGCAGATGGCACTGGGCAAGTATGTGCAAGAGCTGTGCACGAATTTTGCTGTCAAAAAAATAATGCTTGCCACGGTTGTTGTGCATGCTGGAATCTCGTTCTGGGACGGTGTGTAGACATGCTGCCTCTTGCTCATGATTTCGAGTCTCGCTCGCCTCGGGCCAATCCTAGGCAGCACGAGTGTCCTCCCCGACCCTGTTGCTGCCAGACCCGGCTGGCCCATCAGGTGTCAAGGTCCAGACTCCAACTACTCTGTCAACATCGTCCGTGTGCCGTGTTGCGCGACGGGAAAGCTTGACAAAGCTGCAACATCACTGGAGCGCTGCACTCCTACCTTTTTCCCCAGCGAGTTCTTTCCCTTGGTGCTCTTGTCCGGCTTCAAGCTTGCTCAGTTGCCTTTGCCACCGCCCTGCGCCACAGCATGTCTACGAACGATGATCCCTCGACTAGGCAAGCCCGTGCACCGACGCAAAGCCGAACCACACGGAGTCCTTCTGCGGCGGCTTGTAGACGCGACCTGCAGCAAGTCCATCTCGTCTCCATTAGTTGGCAAAGCTGACATGATAGCTTCAACTAATAGGCAAAAGACCGAACATGCCAGTACGTGTAAACGAAAGAAACACATAAGTGAATGCAACGTCTATACAAAAACAACTAGGGCTCTTAAGCACATAAGAACCAACTTTCTGCCGAGGATCTTCGGGCCTGGGATCTCTGCGTGCGTTTGTTCGCGAAACTGCTGCTTTGGCTGCGTGCCAAGAGTCTTCAATCTTCTTGAAACATGTTGATAGATCCGATCCCTCCGAACTGGGTCTGGGACAGTATTTGTTTACAGGCCCAGACATTATCTCCCTCCGCTGCTTTCCACTAAACTTCTGCTAGCATTCTACCGCCTTGGTTGGGAAGCGCGATTCTGGGATGTAGTTGCCTGCACCACCTTTAAATTTGCAATGCTTGGGCACCGACGTTTTCCGAAGACCTTGTATGCATTTCCATGTTCACGCTTGTGTCGGTTCTGGCGCAAATGCTTGCGCAATGTTTTATCCACTTCGCTCGCTTGATGTGTTAACCTCTGGCGCTTTTGTTTTGCTTATCACAGAGGAGCTGCCGTATGTCATCAAAAATGTACGGCTTTCTTTGGTGCATCGGCACTGGTGTGAATGCTTTGGCTGCCGCATCTTGCCTCAACAGGATGTTCTCTTGCGGAAACTTGTTGGTCTTCATATGCTGTGTCAACAAGTGCGTTGTAAAGTTGTAACTGTTCATTACTTGGTGAGCGATATGTCTGTGGCTTTCCGGAAAGCTCGTTTCTTCTCGAGTCTCTTCAGTGCTGAGGTTTGCTACTACAAGATTGTGGTAATGTTGCAGGGTCGTTTCAACGTCTGTAACAGAATTGTTCAACAGCTGGTGAATACAAGCATAAGCTGTATGAGCGCATCGGTCTGTTGCGTAAGGAGTTGCAGTTTTCGGCGCTGTCGTCTTCCTAGATATTGTTAATCTGGCACAATGTTTCTGGAAAGTGATGTTCATGACTGAGATTCAGATTGTGTTCTTCAGTCCTCGTATTTTCTGCAGCGGCTTTTTTCTAACGGACTACGCATCTTTATCGACTCGCTCATATGCCGAATGCCCAGTGATTAGTTGATGTACCTATCTCTTCATGGTTGCACTGTTGACTCTTGCTGGCTGAAAGAAACATTGGACGGCAAATGATGCTCTGCGCAGAAAAAGCAGACTTTTCCAGTGAAAGAGATGGCTGTTCTCACAACGTTGTTTTTCCTCGAAAGCATGTCTCCATGAATATCCTTTCAGGCATTGTTTCGACCACCGTCCCGTTTTCAGGAGGCCGCTTGCCCAGTGCAAGAAACATGGCTTGCCGGGCACCTCGTAATTTCGCACCCCGTAATTTCGCGCTATTCAATGACAACTAAATAGCCTAATTGCCTGCCCGCCACTTTGACATTTAGATTTGACTTCAACCATTCCTGAGCACGTTATAGGTCGGGCCGCGCATGTGACACAAGATAACTATTACAGCAACTCGAGCTGGTAGCCCTAACAGCCCTGGCACATAGAAGCTTGGGACACGGAACTCCTGCTCTTTGACTATCTCTGCATCTTACCAACCTCACGAACTTTGATGGTCGCCAGGATGTTTAGTGCCTGCTGCACTATCCAGTGTCTCGAGTCCGCCTAGTCCCGGCCGAGCGATCGAAGGCATAACGGCAAAACGAGGAAAAGGAGAAGCAGTCGGGTAAAACAATGTAGATCCTGGGGCCAACACGCTTCTCTACAATTAGTACATGCATTCTTCCCTGTCCTCAGTTTGTCAATGCCAGCAGGTGCTCAAAACACTGCTAGTCGTCGACTCGTACACTAGACCATGGCCACAATAACTCAGCCGTTTGCTTAGGGTTGCGGAGCGTAGGATTCAGCGTGGACACACACGCACACGTTCAAACCAATGCTACATCTAAAAATACTGTGGCACATTAAAGCCGCTCGAAATGTCAGTGTTATCAGGCTACCATACATCAGTGCGACTCAGAGTGTGCTACCACATGGGCTACTAGACCAGACTCGCAGCAAGGACCTCACCTCTCCCTTGTGAATCTAGTTAAGAAGCACAGCGTTCACACTTCGGTCCGGGCCTTCCGGACTGGCACGCAGCACCTTGTTGCGGACGCGGACCACACGGCCGTGGATCGCGCAAGACACGCCTTGCCGGCCGGTAAACTCGTTTGAGTCGTGTCTCTTCTTCTCAGCCAGAGCTTAGACGGATGCTGTCTATAGCCAGCAGAGCAGCTCCTCTGAAAGTGCTAACAACTCCCCGGTTACAGAATGTCGTGGGGGTCTGCATGCACGCATCCAATGGGGGCCTAGTTTTAGTTGATGGTGCCCTGTCAACCTGTCACGCGATGACTCAGCCGAGGACAGTAGAGCATCTTCATGTAGAGCTTGGGGAGCATGAAGCTCGAGTACACACTGGCTTCGCGCAAATCTCTCTGGGAGGAGGCATCCACCTTAGTCTTAAACACTTGATAGCTGTATCCAGTCCGGCAGGTCGCACGTCCACGTCCGTATGTCACATCCTTCACAAACTTTCTAAGGCGCTCAAGCGGGCAGGGTTTTGGGAACGTCCTCATCCGGTCTTCCCGCACGCGCCCCACCCCCCGGTCTACAGTCAACGGTCGCGTGGCATGGGTTCTGCCCTGTGCTTTGATGCCTGGGACTGTGCCGAGGCCAGTAGCACGCGAGGGTAGCTCGTCTTTCAACCACACAGCTTATGAATTCCTTGAGGGCTATTGCGGCTATTGCTTAAGTCTCGGTGTCCCTCAGTCGACGGGCGTGTGAGGCAAGTCTACACAGCTGTGGGTGATCATTAACCACCAGGCCCAAATCCATAAAGGAGTCTTTGAAAACGCTGGCATCCAAGCGCGAGCAGCACGCGAGTAGCCCTTTGCTTTTGCTTAGGATTTTCGTGAAGAGGGAGGTCCCATGGCCGGGCTCAAAGCAGAAAACAGCAAGAGATATGCCAGGCCACCATGTTGCGGACCTGAAATCGCTTGATCGCCTTGTCCTTCACAGCGATCCACGCCAGTCCAACGTCATTGACATGAGTGCTTTGCATCGGAAGTGACTCTTGACATGTTCCATCCAAGTCGTGATGTCCCAAACTCGTAACGACGACTTCCCGATTCGGCAGTACGCCGCTACTTCGGGTGCACACCCCTAAAAAGCCAGCACCGAGTGAGAACCCCCAACGTCTCCTTCGGCACGCAGCGAGCACAGTTCGAGCAACGGACGATGGCCGTGTGGCCGCGGCCGTGCTTGGAGCGGCCGTTGTTGCGGCGCTTGGAAGGCATGGCCTGAGACGGTCGTTAGAACAGGAGACGGTAGCGAACCAGAGGCTTTCACAGGCCCAGCAGTCACTGTACAGAAACATCCGGCTTAACGCACTTGTATAGCTGTCGGGGATGTCAAGCCCTCTTGATCGTGCGGGGCTTGTGTTTAGTGTAGGCTTCTTGATGGGCCTCCACTGCAGGTCTTCTCTAGAAAAACAAGCCATGCCACCTTCACAGTGCTCCCACGAGACTCATACCCAATGCAAGCAAGGCGGCTGATGCTGAACGGGCGGGTGGAGCTGGGGGGAGCTCGCGCTCAAGATCCCTTCACAGCACAAAGGGCAACGAACGAATCGTCCGGGCAGGAAGTTCTCTCCTTCACTGCGATAGTGACCGATAGTGCAGCGGAGTACATGAGTCCCTTCTCCTGCATCTGCCACCTGTCATGCAGGCTGCCCTTTTAACTTCCCTCCTCGCGATCTCCCCGTCTTTGCAGACACTATCCTCCTCCATCTGTATGTACAACTTTCTGCAGCAAAGCTTGAACATCCAATAAGTCTGCAGAAGGCTTGGAAAATGATGTATCACCACCGACTCAATGGGAGTTCCTCTGTGGCTGGACGTCTATATCCGTGTGCATCTCATCCGCCGTCGGCCGGGCACGCAACTGAGAGCAGCAGCGGCTTCCTCCGTCCTGGCTCCCCGGGTGGGAACCTCAGGGCAAGGCTCAAACCTGAACCGAGCGTGTGCCCGCACTCCCTCCCAAGCCGAGTTCCAGGCGAAGGCTCGTCGGAATCGTGCTTGCCTCGTTGCCGAACTCATCTTAACGAGAGATCTGGGTGGACGCCCGAGACCGTGAACGGAATTTTGATCAGACGCTGTGCTACACAGTGAAGAAGTATGAAGGTGCAGGGGGGCTGTGGTAACATTGAAACATGGACAGGCTGCTGCGATTGTCATTCTCAGCCCCGACATGCTCCGACCTGAACCCCATCTGCGATCAGAACATGCCGGCAGAGCTTGGCAAGTTCGGCGTATGCCCATTACACCCTTCCGTTTCCACTCGATGCCGATGCGGCACCATAATGCCGATGCACCGCCGCATCGGACAATGTTGGACTACAGTCATGACAATCAACCCAACATACTCGCGATCACCTCGAAGGCCATGCCGGTGTCGGTGTGACACAGGCGCGCCGGCGTGCGGGCATTTGTCTTCCGGGAGCGTTGGCATGCGGGCGGGAGCTCTTCGTGTCTATCGATCCACCTATCTACATATCCGCCTACCTCTTCATGTATATATGCACCATATCGATGCTACACACCTATTCTGGGCCTATAGAATGCTGCAAGTAGTTCCTTCCCTTTCACAATAGATCCCTCGAAACCCCATTGCAAAGCGTCTGTCATAGCCATGAGGCTCAACTCGTCCCACTCGTCCATGGGCGCGCTGGCATCATTGGATCCCTTGAGGATCCTTGGTGTTGGATGAGGCTGAGAAATGCCTTCCAGCCCTGGGAAGAGCTAGCGCCAAGCGACCACTTCTTTGGGTGGGTGCCGTCAGGGCCGGAGCCTGAGACGATCGCGTACCTGAACGGCATGGACAGGCCTGCGAATCGCGTACTGAAACCTGCTGGCTCATCCAGGAGTTGGCCAAGGAAAGGCAGTGCACACAATGCCGAATAGATGAGAACGCCTCACCGAGGGTCGCCTTTAAGCCTCCTGTGTCGGGCCATTGGTTTAACCCCGAACTCAGCCGCCTCCACTTCGGGATCAGACTTCCTGGACAAGGAAACAGTTCCAACAGCTCAAGAAGCCTATGTCTATTCTCTTGGGCACCATGCACCATGAGCGGCACCGTAACCACACATCAGGATGCACCAGTAACGAAGCAGTTTCAGTTCAAGTTCTGCCGGAACGGTTTCGTAATCGTTGTCTGCTAGCCAGTACACATTATGCCTATTATGTATGAAAATACCATGCTGTTGCCAGGCGGTTCATTTATCAACCTGTGCGTGTTGTGTATATCTTGTTCGCGTATTGGAATTGTTTACCTGTGTCTGTTACCAATTTGCTAGCTTTTGCCTGCAGCATTTGTCCAACAATCTAAAACACCTGCGGTATGTCGCTGTCCGTCTATCTCCTTCGCCTGCTGCCCCTCTCTCACTAAGTGTGGGCACTCGGTCAAGAAGTTCTGCTCCCCCAGGTCCTTGCATGGATTGCACAGTTCCGAACCAAGATCCAAGAAGTGATGTTTTAATATCCGAAGACTTGTCAGAAAGAAACATACTCAAGAGCTTGTGGGGGGGGGGGCACCTTGAGGAGAGACCTGAAATCAAAAAGCGAGGATCCTGGTCCCATGGAGAGGCCCAATCCTTTAAAATCCTTGAGAAGTAAACCCAACGCATCTGTCCGAGCCGTGCGGCCATGATTAGCTTCGCAGCCAGCCGGCCACTGTCACTGCTGCCCTCCCAGCCGGCCTCCACCTTTTGGAGATCGTTTCAGCTCCACACTGCTTGCCGATGTGTGCGGTATGCTATGGTGGTTTGCATGCACCCGCAGCATTGCTGTGACTACGAATCTGCAGTGGCTTTGCTCTGTTTGGGCCCCTGCAATGGAAGTGTCCACCTCGGCTTCGAATGTCGCATGTCCACTGGATGGGCTCTACGACGATGGAAACTATCAAGCTTGGGATCCCCGAACATGAACACTGACGACCAAGCACGACTGAGCGGAACAGTCTTCGACGAGCTGCGCCGGTCGTGGTCGTCGTGGTGGTGGTGACGGCGACCTTCCCAGGATTCCACCACGACGAGCTGCTCAGGGCAGGTATGGGTGTGAGGTATGCCTGGGCCATGGAGGTGGCCTGCTCGCACCCACAACAACTTTTCACAGTTGGCCGGAAGAGGCTGTCATTGCAAGCTCGCACGAGAGCCTAAAATCACGACAAACCGAGATTCCCGACGACAACAACAACAACAAAAACTGCAGCTTTCAGAAGCGCCGCGGGGTTAGCTTCTGGAACTGGCTCCAGATGCATTGCTGCTAAAATCAACGGAACGCGAGCTGATAAGCCGAGTCTGCCTACTCCTCCAAAAGCTAGGCAGGCCACGGAAGCGAGCAAGCAGCAAATGCACTAAATCTAAAGCATCTCGCAATGGTCATTCGGTGCCTCGTCTTGGCGCTCGTAGTACGATGCCTTGTCATCATCCTCAGGCCACGGAGCTCTAAAAAGTAGTCGGTGCAGTCCTCTGTACTGGCACAGCACCAGCACTGTGAACTTACAGGTCTGCGGTTCTTGAGTCGGTGCGCAGTGAAAGCCCAGAAAAGGACCAGAGTAGTGCTTGTCGGCACCAAACGACCCCTCCACGCCGTTTTCAGCCCAAAGGGTGGCAAGGCTCCGTCCACGCACATCGCTGTTCCAGCGAGGCCTTCGACTTCGTCATGATGACCTCTGGTTGGAAGAACCCAAGCTCATGACCCGTACTTCCAATCCAAGCAACCAGGACAGGCATGACAGCACGTCAAGCACGCTCACTTTTCAAGTCCTGCCGGGTTCACCCGATGAGGAAAATGAAGCATCTCTCGTGATGAAGTGAATCAACAGATACTTCACTGATGGACATCAGCCCATTAAGTACCGGTAGCTGGTCCATTTCGAGGAGCACTCAAAACGTCGACTGCTCTGTGGGCTACAGACTGGCCGAGGGCGCCACTCGGAAACACTGGACCACAGAACGGCCAAGTCGGTTGAGTGCGAACAGGGAGAGCAAGGACATGGACACAGTGGTGAGAGAAACAGCCCCAGTTTCTCCAAAACGACTTGACCAAGTGAAAGAACTCTTGTGACTCTTGTGCTTTGCTGGAGAAGGTCTGCAACGACCCTCATCTGCTGAAACTTCTCAGATCATGCACCGGAGATGTAAGGATGCCCTCGAGTTTTCTTCCGACTTCAACCAGGTTGAAGTAGCTTAACCCTGATCGTCTCGGTGCACGGCACAGGCCATCCCACTGTAGTCAGAGAAACCTCCGCAGTCTCCATGATTGAGGCCTCAAGCTACAGTCCAGTCGACAGATAATCGCAAACGAAAGTGTCACTCGCTGACACTCTGGCAGCCACATGTCCATCAACTGTTGCACAATTGTAAGCTATCAACCTCCGACAACTTGGAGAGAACTTGTGAGTTGTGAGCTGCAAGGGCGAAGGCTCGAGCTCCTTCTCCACTCTACTCATATGACGTTCACTGAGTCAGCGGCATGCTTGCGCACACTCCTCCAGTTTCTTCTGGCCTGGGCTTCACAGTCGCTGGGCCAGAGGAGGCAATCTACTATGTGCGACATCCGTGATCTTCGGGACAGCTGCCCGGGATGACCATGGACGTACCCGTCTTGATACGGACCGAACTCAAGGTTTCGATCTGCACGTCTGACCGTGGCAGTTTCGCCGGCAAGTCTGCGGCTGGACAATAGTAAGCGCCGTGCTGGAGCCGCGGATGGTGCTGGCAAGGTTCCTTGAATGGCACGGGCACGGCAGCAGGTTTCGATACCGAGGCTTGTAAGTGGACAAGAAGTGGCACTGCACACGCTGGGCCTGCCGTAGTGCAATCCAGGCGGCTCATGACACCGAGTGTCATAGTAGCCATTACGGTCTGCCCGGACCTTGGCGAAGACACGTTCCTACACAGTCGCAACTCCTTAAGTGGCTGTAGAGGTGCTGCAGATCGCAGTTGGGGCAGGTGCGGTGCTAGAAACTGTCCTGGGACCCAATTCGACACTTACGTTCAGCTGCCGCCTCTGGGTGCTTGACGCTGACCGAACTGCGATGCTTCCCGCGAGAGGCTACTGCGGTCAGAAGTGTTCTGCTCAAGCTGCATCGAGCTCAGGAGGAGTTTAATCTGGTGAGCCGACACATAACTTTAATCATACCATGAGGCGAAATAGTCCATGGCCGCCTTCTGTGAAGGTTCCGGTAGGTCCACATCAGTCACCATGTCCTGTCGAGACTTCGGCTGCACAGTCGCGGCTCGTGAGAGCTGACGGCCTTGTCCAGGAGTCGAAACTCGCGGAAGTTCAGGACTCTCTGGCCCTTCAGCTGCACTTGCACGTAGCGGCCCACTTTGCCTTCGCAGGAGACCTTGCCATGTTGCCATGTCAAGGGCTAGTCAAGCCCGTTCACTCAGGGGCATTGGGCAGAAGAGTCCAAGCTTGTAAATTCAACACTCCTCATCACGCAGCACACTCGTCAATGTCCACTATGCCTCGTCACCTAGTCTCCTCCCAGCCGCAGCCCTTCAGATTAAATCGATCCAAGTCGCATAGTACCAGTTGTCCTTGCCTGTGACCTCCAACTTGCCGCAGGGCTCACCGGGACAAGTGTGGCCTCCGGGCAAAAGTCGAGGTATTGTGGCTGAGGTGTCTCAGGTGCTTGAGGCAGATGCGCTTTGCCACCAGCAATGTGTGGCTTCGGGACAGGTGCCAATTTTCGTCGATTTGCGATCGAATTCACTCGGATTCCAGCAAATCCATGGAAGCACTATAGCCCAATGGCCCATGATGGGCGACCTGATCAAATCCGACCCCACCTGCGCAGGACACGTCGCTGACGCTGACGACGGCGCCGGTGGGCGTGCACCTGAGGTGGCTCGGCGATATTGATATGACTCCGGGTGCGAGAGCTGTGACTCTCCTCATCGCCGAGTCGCTTGTCTCCCACGTCTACGCCATAGCGTGCTTCACAACCTGCAAGTTCTGCACGAGAACTGACTACATGAATGTTGCCGTCACAGAAGAAGCACCTGCACAACCTTGTACTCTGCATCCGACCGCTAACAGACTGCCTGCCTCCGGAAAAAAAGGTGAAGCCCTGAAACTAAATGGCTCGCAGAAAACACGGCCAATCATGACGATCTGGCAGAATTCCGCCCTCTTAAAGGTCAAAAGAGTTTGGTGTTCAAGGGGCCGTCAGGGTGGCTCAGCAACGCGACAATCTCCACAGCCTTTCGAGCAACAGCGGCGAAGTGGGTGTCGAGTTTGGGTGTTCGCAGGGTTAACATCCGAAGCCTGAATAACCGAACTGTCAAAACTGAGTTGAGGCATGGGTGCTGCCAGTGCAGACACAACCACCAGCCACAGCGGTTCGTTCACGAGTTGGGTCGAATCGGAGCTGCCGTAAGAATGTCGAATCGAGCACATCACTCTCATACAGAGAACTCTGTGAGACCAGACAGGAGAACTGCAATAAAACAGCCTCGCGGATTCCGAGGTCCACTTGCCACCACGGGTTCAGCTCACCTGAACCTCAGCAATGTTGACGTGGCTTCTGTCCAAACTGGTGCTCACAACACACACACACACACACAAATGAAAGATGCTTCGTCTGCCTAAATGAACCCAGAGCAAGTCTTGCCTCTGAATTGCCGGCATCACTCCGAAAGTCAAAATGGAAGTCTTTTCCCACAGCCCGCCTCCGTTCCACGCAGTGCTGCAACGAGTATCCTCATCGGCGTCCATGCAGAAATGTGCTTCTGCATAATCGAACGTGGAACCTGCAGGCTTCGATTTCTTCAGGGGCTGGGACCACAGACTTCTCGTAGCTCTCGCGGCGTGCAGCCTTATTCTTGGCCCTTCGGATTCGTTTTTGGAGCTGCGGCTGCGACGCAATGGCTCAGCACTTAACCCAGATTGGAAGAGCTGCTCGAGTCCTGCCGACATGCAAATATAGTTCTTCAGAGTCCAGCAGCCGCAGCCCTATGTCAGTCAGCCATTCGTCTCTGAAATTCTGCTGCACGCAACGTTATAAAGGTAAGTACTCATTAGGACTCTCCCTCAAGCCCGCATCGCTACCACAGAGCGCAACCGGCGCAGAAGCCCAGCAAAGGCATCCAAGAGGCTACTCCGTGCCACGCGAACACGCTGGCCGAAAGCCAGTTGCACGGATGTGTAGTTCGCAGAGAAGCCTCCATCAGGCTGTGCCTGTGCGGTGATCGCGGGTGGGTTTTGCGGCCGTGTGCTGGGCTCTGACGTCAAGCTTAGCCAACTGAGCACAGAACCACGGTCGCCAGATTTCCATCCAAGACGTTGAAAGCCTCCGTACCGTCCTCAGCTTTAAAATAGACTGCGGCAGATTAACAAGCCGATGGTTCAAGACACGACCCCTTCGTCTGCATCACTAGCTTCGTCACAGGCTCTGCAATCATGCAAAGCTTCTGACGAATCGTCAAGATCGACAAAGCAAAACCGTAAGTGGGGGACATCAGAAAAGAATCACGAGCTCGTAGATTCAGAGCACTACACAAACATACAAATCTAGAATTCCAGAACCTGAATCAATCCTGTTCTTGAATTCCCTCACATGCGTCAGTATTACGATCATCTGCTCGCACAAATTGTTCGAGCACACCACCCAGAAGTACCTAGATAGTCTGGAGTTTCAGACCGGATTTGTGAAAACACTTTCATTGATTGTTTCGCCGCGGCGCCCTGCGATTCGTCACTCGGGGAAGCGACTTGTGAAGGCAGCGCCGACGATTTGTGGTCAAAATTGCAGGTCACTTGCTGTGCGATACATTCATACAATCACGGATCAAAGTTGCTCCTGCCCGGAAATTCAAAGGAGGTGGCTCCATGCTCAGGATCCCCTCGTTGAGATGTCACAGGCTATATGCCGACTTTGCAATACCAGTCAACGTGTCAGAACGAGATTGGATGCCGAATGAAATGATTTCCAACACTGTCCTGTCGACTGCGGTGCAGACTGCGGTGCAGATGTTTGACTAAAACCGTAGTCTTTCCAGTCCCGCACTCGCCACGTCGGCACAACGGATTCATTGTAAAATCTAATTTGTTTGCCACGCTCTCTTTTTTGCGGCCCCTTGCTCTGGTCTCGAATCCGCCGCGAAGGCTTTCGGAGTTCCGCGTCATTTCAAGACATGCTTCCTCGACCTTGCCATGGGGTCGAACTCCAACAACAATCCGGTGCGTGGAAACCTCGCTCCCGACACAATTTCGTATATATTTTGCCTTCGACTCGTGGTCCTGCCTCCAAACACCCTGCTCCTGCTAGAGCCCCATTTTACCGCGGCAGTGCGCAGTTGAGGACGTAGGAGCACCGAGAAAATGGAAGGTGAAGGGATCCCTATAGGGCTGTGCACATCGACATGCCGAGTCAGTCCAACTGAACACTGAGCTCCCTGCGTCAAGCACTGTCCCGGGCCTCTCGGAATCACCCGTTAGACTTGGAGGGAGCGTTGAAGGAGAGCAGCTCTCAAGAGTAGTCCGGGATGGACCCTTCAAACTGTCGTTTGGCAGGCACGAGTCTTGCAAGGCCTCCTCGCACGACCGTGGACGAACCTCGTGAACTCGGGAGATTGGACACATGAGCTTCCCAGATCTGCAAGTACTTGAAGCCGTGCTAGAAGCGCATGCTCTTCTGTTGGATCGGGAAAGTACTGCTGCTTAGTCGAACTGATGATATTAGAAGGTCCGTGCTCGGCTGTGTTGACACTCACATGAAATCTGAGCCCGTCACCAAGCTGACCCGCGTGACTTTGGCAAAAGCAAGGCCTGGCGAAAATTCGACATGACTGCACGACTCCGGCTCGTCCTTGCAGATGCCCGACCTTGCCATTCTGCCTGAGCTCCACCTCTGCCAATTGCCAGCTTGTCGCCTGAGGGCCGTGAAGACTCGTCGACTACAGGCGGCTACCGACCGGATCTGGTGCAGGAGGAAAGTCAAGCCCCTGCATGACTTTGCGATTTGCAAGACATGCCTGCCTTCGCGTCGTTGGCCTGCAGCACTTGCAGCGCATAGTATCCTCGGAAACCATGCATGCTGTCTGGCAGTGTGCTTGATACCCGAATCGAGGAAAAGCTCACCAGCAGACATGCAGCTGAAATGGCACGTCATCTGACCAGGCTCTGTAAAAGCACCGATCTTTCTTGATCATAGCAGTGGTGGTCGTGGTGGTGGCAATTATCTCCTCCTCCACCTTCAGCAAACGGCAATTCAGTGCCAACGAAATCTGCTGCTGCACCCAGAAGACCCAAACCCGAATCGGCCAAGCTGAAGCAGACCATGTGGGCTCTGTCAGGCTTCTGGACATACAAAGAGAAAAGAACTAAATAAAAACTCCCTCTCCATGAGCTGCAGACCTCGCTCCTAAGTGTCTGAAACAAGGAGCCTCCTGCATTGTTTCCTTCCAGAAGCTATGGCTTGTGATGAACAACAATATTAAACCTTCACCCGGCCTGCGTTGTCGTCGTCGTGGTTGTGGCCATGCAGTGGTAGCCTCGACCGATGCTAACTTACAGTGTAGGGCCTAACGAGCTTGCTGCATGCAGCCCTTGGGCTACGGTCACTTGCAAAGTGTCAGAGTCTTGAGGAGAAATCCTGGCATTCCTGGACAGTCTTTAGAGTGCCTCGCTTTCGTGGAACACCCCACGGAGGATCGCACATCCAGCGAGCAGATGGGAAGTACGCCTGGCTATCACGGGACGAAGATTTCGCTTCTGAGCGTTCTCACCAAACACTTTTTGTTCAATAAGCCAATATCAAGCATTTTCGATGCTGCGCTCCAATGAGTGCTGCCTGGGACACGTCGCTGAGCTTCACTGCCGTGGAAAGCGAAGTCCTTAGCGCACGCAGCACGCGGCCATGAATTCACTCGTCAAGGCAACCCTTCCATGCTGGGATGCCGGCATGTCGCTCGCTGTTGCTCCATCAACTGAGCCCCATAGCCTCTGAGCGTGTATCTTTGCTGCGATGGTAAAGCATAATAAACTCCCAAGCTGCCAAACTGCTGCCAAAGGCAGCCCCTGCCCCATGATAGAGCTGCTCTGTCTCGCAACTCCCCGCCTCCACGACTTCGGATCGAAGGAACTCGAGGCCTGGCGGGAAATCAACGTCACGCACGGCGTGAAATGCGCGCGCACACAAGTGCAGTCGCACTTGGGCCATCGTGTGAAAGGGTAACACTGAAGGCAGAGTCAGTGACATGATGTGGCTTGGACGTGGCATCTATAACTTGGCCGAGAGTCATTGGCGCTGATGACCTGATGAAAGCTGCAATTTCCGCGGTGCGTCGGCTCAGGTTTTCCTCCCCCTTCCCCTTTACTTCCGGGCTGCCGTGTACTTGGCGATGGAGACCCCCCGACCCAGATCCAATCTCAGCTTGATCATCGGGCTCCTCGGTACAGTTGCTGGGCAAACCTCATGATGTTTTCTCGCAGCCCTACCAACATAAACGCTGCAAACTCAATTCCCGGACTCTGCCAGAGACCCACAGAGATGAGAAGCTCTGACTTGGTTCTAGCGTCGGTGAGCAGAGGCCGCTGAAGACTGAAAGGTCAAAGGCATTCGAGGCGTTACTCGCTTCGCAGCCTCGCGTCTCAGCATCATCCTGCAGAAGCCAATTGAGCATGTTTAGGGTCGCACTGCAGCCGCAGTTGCACCATTGCATGCAGCTTCGCTACTTTGCTGGCTCTCACCTCTCCCTTCGTGAATGTCTCTCGCCGCCTTCTACGGAAAGTGCCCCCCACTCTTGACAACAGGCGACGGGCCATGGGGCCTATCCACGTTGCTCGAGTGCAGTCTCGTTTTCATCGTTTCATGCCCATGCGCCCGCAAAGCGCCGAACAAGCCGCACTTGGCGCGCTGCATGTGCATCCCAAAACCTCGCGCCATCCGTTTCGTCCGAGCACCCCTCTGCATCCCTAAAACATGATGTCGCCACATGCATCCGAATGCATCCCAAGGGCGAAATTGCTGAGGAGAGTTCGACGGCTTTTCGTAAGGAAGGGACAATCTGCAAAGCAAGCGCAAAAGCACTGGAAACGATCCTGGACGAGCTCCGCGCGCACATCTGAGCTTGGGAACCTAAGGTGAGATGCCTTCACCAGCCCCGACTGCAGCTGACTAGAAGAAGTTTTCGGTACAAGTGGCACCGAAGGTGCCCTGAGTATACCCTAAAAAAACTGCACCTGATTTGAATACCAGTCTGAACAACTAGATACTCCACTGGATCACATGCTGCTTTCTCGAGAGATCGGTCGGTCGTGCAGCTTCTTTTTCTAAGCCAAGCCAAATCTGAGGCGAGCAGCTTCCGAAGTCGTCCCCTGGCATTGAGGTAGTAGAGCCGCAACTCGCCGATTTTCCACGCGGCCTGCAACAACATTCGGAATACTGTTGGCTTGCCGCATGTGACTCCTGCCTCGTCCCCGGCAGTGGAAAGCACTTCCAAAACCTTCGCTACAGGCCGGATGCGGAACCCAGTGCAACCAGAAACGACCATGTAAGAAAGCGCATTGAGAGCATTGAGGCTATGGCATAGTATCGGAAAGGGCAGTTGTTGAAATCGGTGGCTTCTTCTGCTTCAGATGGGCAAGCGCCCTGCAAGTACCTCGGAAAGCTGTCACAAGCTTCACTTGAAGGTCTTACAGCGAACCCAACGTCATGGGAGCTTCTTTGCCTGCCGCTTCTTAGTCACCATGGCACACTCTCGAAAAACAAGTGTGGTATCCTCAGTTGCTGACGGTGGAGTCGTGTAGGTGGTGGTTGTCGTAGTGCTGGCAGGTGGAAGTGGCTCAAACCTGAGCCGGATCTGAGAGATTCAGAAAAGCCGCTTCCTAAATGCGAATGAATGCGTGCGCCCGCGAATGTTCGGTTGCAGATGCAGCTTTCCCCAAGCTGCAGGATGAGTCTGCCATCGAGAGGCGTGCAAAAGTCGGAGCCACTTGTCAGCCGCAGCCTTCGGAGGCCAGGAGACGGGCATTGCTGAATCGGGGTCGTATCCTTTCGTTACTCTGTGTCGTTCGATCCCACGCTGTGCTAGAGTCTACAAAGACATTTGATTGCACCAGCTGCGAGCTCCGAACTCGGAGCCACGTCTGAAAACCTCAAACTCCATTCTCTAGCCCTCTCTTCCCGTTAGCGCTACTCGGGCCTTCTGCACACTACTCTGAACTTGAAGCCGCTCCAGTCCAGCTCCGACGCCAAGCCAACTTTACAAGTCCACACGCTGGAAACACGTTTTACAAGACCACAATGTCCAAGGCAGGACACAGTTCCGGGCACAAAATCTTGCGGTGGATCAGTGGCAGAGCTGCAGAGTCGAAGAGTCTCCAAGCCAAAGCCACCTCCTTTCCCGCCGTTCCCCTTTTCCCAGCCTCGTCAGTTTAATGTCACCGGGATGCGACGGCCGAAAGGTGACCTGAGCCATCTGAGTCGGCGAGGGGCGGGCCGGGGGGCCCTGCTTGCACAGAGCAATTCGAGGCTTCGGAGCGAAAACTGGATTCTTCCAAGTGGCGAAATGCTTTCCCTCGCGAAGCCTGCGTTGCGCAATACAGGACTTCCCTCCTCTTATTCCACCCAAGGGCCCTTTCAAAGTCCAGCAGCTTACACGGCTCCGACTTCACGGTCCAGCGTGGTTCGTCTTGATACGCACAGTTGTCGTCCTGCCAAAACAAAAACTTACGCACTCTGTTACAAAGAGAATGCTCCCAACCTCCCACTGCCGTCAATGCTGTCCTCAGCGCAGTTCGTCCCCCAGCCCGAATGCAGGAACCACCTGCGGGACAAAGCAAAAAGAAGAGCGCAGGAGATGAGAGCTTTGGCACAGCGCACCGCAATGCCAGCAAACCTGAAACTTCAAGCGCACCCTCTCTCCAGCCTCCACGACGGGCAGCTACCCATGGAGAGGTAGAACACGTCTGAGCCGCCTTACAGAGCAAGATCCACCGCCTCTTACGTCCTGGCTGAGGTTCAGTGCGAACCTTCAAATGCCAACTCTCCAATCCCCCAGCTGAACCAAAACCTATCTGGACCTACATGTACATGCCATGTGAAGCTTCCCAGCCCTCTTGAATAATGCGAGGAAACCTGGGAAACCCATCGCCTGAAGGCCCATGACATCTCCAGAATGCTGGCCCTTCACGGGACTTGGGCGCTGGCCGTAAGGTGCCACCACTTGCGCCTGTAGCTGCACCTGGCGACGTTGCAGAGAACAGATCTGGAGAACTGTTGTGACGATTCCGATTTATGTACGGTGCCCGAGCCCAGGCCCTCACCCAAACTCCTCTGCAGTCACACAGGTTGCGCATCCCTTCCAACCAATTCCTGATCTCCAGCCAAAGGCGCCGTTCCGGAGGACTGACAGTTGAGCTGAAAGCTGACGCCATTCATCGTGGCGCGTCCCAGCTCCAGAGGAGGCTGACAGGGGACCAGCAGTTGATGCCCGTGATCACTACGAACCTGGTGACTGTTGTCAAGGCCAGTCCTGCTCTATCTACCTTCTTCGAACAACCCCTCGCCCCCACACCTCATTGGCCAAGGACGAGCACAGTTCTTCTTTGCCACAGGGGGCGCAGGTGTGCGGAAAGCGCCGGCCGCATTGGCAGTTGAAGACTCCTCGCAGTCCCAGCAGTCACGCCCCGAAGGCTCTTTCGGTGAGCGATGAATAAAGATGTCACTCGAAAGCACTGCATAGACAGCTCCTTCATGCGGAGGCATGCACACTGCACACGTGGTCTTGGACTTGTCCTTAGCCAAATTGTCCGAGGAATGCAGCCTCCAGCATGTCGTCTGTAGTTGTGTCTTCCAGAAACTTCTGGACGAGAAGCATCGCAACAATCGCAAGAAACACCAAAGAAGCTCCGTACTTCCCTATGGTCTTGCCATGTCTGGCCAACTTACCAGTTTCCGCACTGATCATCCAAGAACTTCTTGCCACAAGGCTGCGTACTGGCAAATTCCACCAACACGGTGTTCAGTGTAGCGGCTGCAACCCTTGCACGGCACAGCCTGCGAGCGGTCACGGCTGAGACGACGAAGGGTTTGAGTCTCTGCAGCCTCGCTCCAGTTGCCGACTTCCGCGGCAGAGCCGCCGCTCCCGGAGTCGGCCTGGCCGTGGCAGAGGCTCAGCCATGACCCCCCTCCCCTAATTCGCAGACATGCGCTTCCTATGGCACTGCCCGAAGCTGGAGTCAGGCCAGCAAGCAACCTCAAGCCTTCCAGCAAAGGTCCCTGCATGCATGGGCCGTGGCCGCCTCCTCCTCCAGCAGTGACGTCCGCACCTGACGCAGATTTTACATATCTCATGCCCGGATCTGTCACGAGTCATGCGCTGATGCCTGCTGCACCGCACGGTCTTTTTCGCCACCGCCGTAGCGAGAATGCCCGTGCGAGTTTGCACACCCGGGCCTTGGGAGGGGGGCGCTTAGGAGCCTGAGCTGGACAAAAACAAGACGACGACTTTCCTATCATCCCAAGTCCTGCGTGTCTGAACTGCACAAAAGCCCCACCATCCTGCTCTGGACCCCTTCAGGCATCGGCACAGGGCTCAAGTGAGCCAGACAGTTCGTGTCGCACCATTCAAGTGACAAATTATGCCTGAGTGCGACCGTCGTGTTCTGGCCCCACAGAGCACAAATAATAACAAATCAAGGTAACAAGAAGATGAAGCTTAGGCTTAAGGCATCCAATCGTTGTGGCGGTCTTCAGGCCGGTCGTGAGCTGCTGTCGTGCTTCATTCCAATGACACGAACAACACTGATGCACAGATGGCAGCATAGACATGTTCATCGGAGTGATCTGACTAGCAGCTCAAAACTAGGTTCGTGCAGGTCGGGCGTGTTGTCGCAACAGTGAAACTGCGAATCGCAGCCCACCACCTCGGTGACGTGAAGTTGACAACGAGGAACCAGTCCATCAATAGGCAAGGGCCTTCACGATCATGGTATCATGAGGTGGAAGTAGTGCTGGCGATGGTTCAACACTGCCGCAGAAGAGACGCTGGAAAGTCTTCGGGACCACTCCAGCGCGGCTGTGGGCTGTCAAGCGTTGCAAGTCGGACCAGAACTCAGGCTCAACTGAAAAGCATTCCTTGTCACTGTCCATCCCGCCGGGGAATTGATGAAAGCACTGCACTCCCTCTTCTTCGGTCTTGATGATGACGAAGCTGTGAATGTACTCATACCAGTCTTCGTCAGTGCGAGGCTCACTGATGTAGAGCTTGTTTGAATGCTTCGTGACATCCACATCACCACCACCAAGCAAGACAAGGAAGACACCGGTTTCGCAATTGGTGACCATCTCCTCTAACCTCGCTCCGTCAGTACTTTCAAAAGTCATGTCATCAGCCCCCCTTCCGCCCATTGCTTCCGCGAGCGCATTGAAGTTGTCTACGGCAGCCTCATATGCGATGGGAGACAGGTTCTCGGTCATGGGATCAAGCCGGGAGTCGCAAAGGACCTGTCACAGAGCCCAGCGTTGGAGTCTTGAGCCAAGATGACTTGAGCCAAAGCTTCTTTTGTCTTTCAGCAAGCTCAGGAGGGCGAGGCCGCTCAGCAGGATGACACGCCCGACCGGTGAGAGGTACGCCTAAACTGTCTCCCTCCCTCTCTCGCCGTGCCTGGATCCAGTCCTCGCTAAGCGTCCTTCCAACTCCGACGAACTGATACTTCAGAGTGGTGACCTCCACGCCAAAGTCCTTCCGCCGCTGCCAACTTCCGAAAGACTCCGTGGATCCGAGCTGCCCTGCCTTGTCCTCCAGCACCCCGCGGTAGAGAACCACGTTGAACAGCTGGCCTTGGCGGGTCTCTTACGGTTCTTAGAGGTTTCGGCACTCCGAGTTCCTCCGACGGTCCGAGCAAGAGGCCGTCGAAGAGCCGGGAGCCACCAAAACGGCGGCCAATCCTCAGCAATTCTGCAAACGACGCCACCGTCAGGGGATGAGTCAAAAGCCGCTTAGCTTAGCTACAGTTCGGTGTCTTCCAGCTCCTTCATGCCTGCCTGCCTGCCTGTCTGAATACCTGAGTCTGTGTTGTTTCAAGCATTCTCCTGCACTATGCTGCGGCTCTGGGCACGTTAGCTTTGCGCGCGAGGAGAAATCACCGGCGAAGCGGGTACGATACCACTGAGGTCGTTGTGCAACTTTCTCCTGACAAGCTTGCACGCATCCACTCGCTGACTGCAAATTGTCCCCATTACTTGCACAGCTACGACAGTATCCTCCTTGCCATTGACCCACATAGTGGTTGTGAAATCCTGGACAGGGTAGAGCAAGCCCCGAAATTCGGAACATAATTTAGCCCAGGTCCACCGGAGGCTACTTGCAAACGGCCTCGCAGCTGAACATGAAGCCAGCAGTAAAATTGTTTGCCTGATTCCCCAAAACCAGACCGACCAGACCCATCACCGCCTAAGGTGCACTGCCAACTCCTGTCAAGCCGAGCATGAATGCATTTGCAAGCTGTCATCTCCGAAGCCTTGCTATGAACATTCCCAGACTCTCAGCAACCACCACCCATGAAAACAGCAAGACCTGTTCTGTGGTTCAAGGCCCCTTTCGGCAGCCTTGGCGTCGAAAGACATTGCAACTTCTACCTGCCATGGAAAAAGGTCTTCAGCGTGTGCAGGCTTCAATGATCGAGGCGGTCGCCTCCTGTGGAAAAAACGCGCCCTCTAAAGCTTCGAGTACCTTTTGAGCTTTGAGGCTGAAAGAGGCGAGAAAGCGCCAGCCTCTGCCCCTGTCAGCGGGGTCGTGCCATATCCGAAAAACCTTAATCAGGGCAACAGCAGAGTGCTGACGGCGTTGGGTGCACATGCAGTGCTCTGTTGATGCAAGAAACAGCAACGACGACGTGTTGCCGCACCAAACCCAAAGCCCAAACTGTGTCTGGTCATCCCATTACACGAAAAGGCAGAGCTCTCAGAGTGAGGAACGTATGCCCGGAGGCTGTGCGGAAGAAAAAGCGCAGCAGTCGGCATCGGCACCTCATCGCTAGGGCGACATGGGGAAATGCGTGAAATTGTTGCTCTCCACCCTTCAGCTCACACGTGGGAGGTCATAATGGGGAAACTTGCTTGTGGCTTCCCACAGATAAGAGCCCGGCTTCTTGTCGTAGATGACGCCGAACTCCCACCCACGGGCGTCAGACCAGTAGCTCTTGCCTCTAACACTTTCGACTTCAGAACTCCTGTCATCTCCTATCGCTCTGGCCCTCCCCCAGCCTCGTCCCGTGCTGAGCTTGCTCAAGATGGGGCCCTGGACTTCTCCTGCACACGGACATCTTGAAGATTCGGCACTGCACCCTAATATGGCAACAGCACACTTCGAACGTGCTGTGGCTGCAGTTAGTCATTCCATGTCCCGCCTTGGATTTTCTTCAGCTTGACGTTCGACAACTGGGCCAGGATGCTGAAGGACTGAGGGCCCGCGCCGAAGTCGAACATGCCAGGATTCCTCGGCTTGCGAAGGGGCAGCTTAGGAGACGCGAAGGTCTCCAAGTGCCGAGTCATGATCTGCTCGAGTTTTCCACCCCAGGCTCGGATTGCACTCCTCGCCCTTCGCAACAAGCCCGGGCCAGGTCTGCAAAGCCGTGACCTGGAGGGCAGTGACTCGGACCAGCGGATTCCGCTGTGCTCCGGTGCCTCCCGGTGGAGAAGCAGAGCGCTCCGGTCTGGTTCCGTCTCTTCACACTCGTCGTAGAGGTGACAGAAGCCCGAGTTCCTGGTACAAGTAGCACAGCAACAAAGCAATGACTGGCAATAAGAAGATCACCAAGCCAGGGAACGTGAAGAAAACTGCCGCTGCGCAAAGCTTCGCCGGACACTTCTCTGCAATGCTGTTCATGCGACACTTGTCCTGGACTTGACAGCATGCAAAGAAGATGCAGCCCGACAGGCTTGCTCCAGGCTGCCAGTGCACTGGAAGGCACTCGTACAAACTCCAGAGCTCATCAGTGGAACTGCACAAGATCTGTATAAAACAACGCGTCAAGCTGATGGCAAACTCGAGCTGACTTGGCACTTCAGCATAGAAAATGGAATGCCAAGCCGATCACACAACATGCCCACTTCGAGAGGGTCCTTGCAGCCTTCGATTGTCAATCCTGGTCCAACAAGCTCAGACCGTAAAAGACCGGAATGCAATGCTGCTTCGGAGTCATGAAAGCATGCAGAGATGTGCAGAGACTCGCCCACTCGGCCTTTCCAGCCGTTGCATCCTGCGGTCTGGTCCATGGTGTAAGGCCTAGGTCGAGAGAGGATGGACAACGCACGGAGCTCCCGCGGCTGGAGAGGCCCCGGCTTCGTTCGGCACTTTCGGCCCTGCTGGCTGGTGAAGCGCGTCTCCGGGGCCAGATCCTGACGCCGCAACACGGGTGAAACGGCCGCTTCAGCGGCCGATGGGCCGGGCCTGCGGGAGCAAGCGCAGGCAGGTGGAGAAGCGAGCTGGGCCCTCGTAGGCCACCGAAGAACCTCAGCTCGGTCCCCATCTCACACGACTCAGCCCGGCACATCTTTGATGCACCCAAATGCCAAATCGGGCACCGATTCCCTCTGCACGGACCCAAATCTCACAATCCTCGGAGCGCATGTTGCAGGCACAGCCCCGTGTGTCTCCCTTCACGTTTGACATGGATTAGGGAGGTCGTGCAGTCAGCGAGCTCTGCACAATCAGTTCGCTGAGCGGCATCATTGTACTCAATGCCCTGGCAGAGGGGATGACTCCTGGCAGCTGCTCTCAAGCTCGACGAAGACACGACGTGCGGTTATTGACCGATGTCACTTCGCATGTTGCAAGAATGTCGTCCCTGCAAAAGCTCCTGCAGATGAGCTTGCACATTTCCAGGCTTCGGCCGCGATGCTTCACCACGTAAGAGCCTCAGCGGTCAAGGAGCCGACGAGACGAAGGCGGACACGCGGAGGCAGGCGGAGGCCCGCGGAGGCCCAAGCCTCGCCAGTCTTCCCGGTGTGCCCCACGGCACGCACGGCCCACACCGCCATCCATGGGCACGAAGATGCGCCCTCGGTAAGGGGAGCTGGAATCCCCGCAACACGCCGAGGACACCTGCGCTCTGAGGGTCCAGCTGCCTTCGGGTGCAGCAGCAACGGTGGCGTTCAGGGTGAGGTTCTCCTTCGGTGTGCGAACGGCTGCCATTGACAGCTCTGTGTGTTGCCACGATCCTCTAGACACGAAACGTCGATTTACAGGAGACATTCGGCTTGAGGGCTTCAGGGCTCATCTTTTCATCACACGATTTCTCCGTCGGCCCCGGGAAACACAGCAGTAAGAAAGAGGTGCAGGGACGCGGATCGTCTCCTCAAGCTGATCATCAGATTCTTGACGCGACACCTGACCCCGGGCTAGTTCGTTGTTTTGGCTGACAGGGTCATTGCAGTTACTGTACAGGACCTTGAAGCGGAAGCCCTACCACAAAGCTCAAAAAACTCACCCAGCAATAAGGTACGTGTGCTAGCCGGCTAGCCAAGGAGGCGCACGTTGGCCAATGCATTCACAACTTTCGTCTTGATCTGGCACCTCACACGTCAGGCTGCGACGCACTCTACGGCTGCAACAGCCCCTCTAGCTGTGACCGTGGCATGGGCCTTCAACGTGAGCCTAAGCACTTGCGTACCCTTGAACATCCAAGCATGGCACTTCATGAAGGTGTCGTGGGCCGAAGGACAAGGGTAGGTCTTGAAGCCCGTTGCCTCAAAGCCTGCGGCTCGGAGATGCTCGTGTCATGTTCAGGGCTACTGTCGACAGCACTGCTGGCTGCCTTACACTGTGCTACACTACAGTACACTACGCTACACTACAAGGCAACACATTCATCAAATCTCGTTACATTCCATTCCGTACTACACCATACAATTACAACAACATAATAGCATCACATCATATTCCATCCCCATAACATTACATTATGCTCCCTACAAACATGTACAAGATACAGCGCACACATACCAGCCTACATACCCGCGGGCATACATACCTAGTTGCATATATACATACATATATATAGAGAGAGATATATGTATATATGTATATATGTATATGTATATATATATATATATATATATATATACATACATACATACATACATACATACATACATACATACATACACATATGTATATATATATATACATATACATATACATATACATATACATATACATATACATATACATATACATACATATATATATATATACATATATATACATATACATATACATATACATATACATATACATATACATATACATATACATATACATATACATATACACATATACATATATACATATATACACATATATATATATGTACATATATACATATACATATACATATACATATACATATACATACGCAAAGAGACATGTACACATATATATATATATATATACGTATATGGGTGTGTGTGTGTGTGCGTGCGCCATGTATGCGTGTCTTTGGCTGCGTATGTACAATTACATGTATATCCGTATGTACGTATGTATATTATATGCATTTTGGTATGTATGCGTGTGTGCATGTCTGTCCGTCCGTCCGTCCGTCGATCTGTCTGTATGTCTGTATGTATGTGTAGGTATATGTATATGTACAATGTACAAGGGAATGTACATGTATATGCATGTGGATATGTACGCGAATATGTATGCACATGTGTACGTGCCTACTTTTGTACATGTATGTATGCCTGTACTGCAGAAAAAAAGAGAGACAGAGAGAGCACTCTCACAGTGTCCTGCTTTGTATATATACTCATTGAAAAACTGCGTATATACACCCACCATCACACATACGTACTTTTGTAACGAACTCATGCATCTGTCTACCTACCACCCTTACCACCTACCTGTCTATAAATTCGTGTCTCAGCTCGCCTACCTCTACATTTCAACCATTTAACTATTGAGCACTTAGCGCTTAACTTGTGCACATACAGTACTTACTGCACGCACTCACTCACTCACTCACTCACCAATCACGCACTCTCACTTGCGGACCTACTTATACACCTACCGTTTACCGAGCTTACGCAAGTATGTGACTAGCTAATTACCCACCTACCCACGTCCTTGTTTCTCACTCGCTTACGTACTTACATATGCCTACGACGCATCATATATGTTGTTGTAGCCGTACAACATTCGTCGTTTCCTTTTCCTTCTTCGCACTAGAACCCCGTACTCCGGGCTTGCATGGGCGAGACATTCCACAAAAACCTCTTGCAAGCACAATGGTGCGCGTTGAACTCTCCATGCAAAAGCTACTCTTTCTCTTGAACTTCCCGTCAGTTTGGCGACCTGGACAGCAAACATCTCCAGCGCAGGATGTACTGCGGTCCGCACAGAGCACGGTCCTTAGCTTGCGCGGGTGCCGCTCAGCGCGGGTGCCGCTCAGCGACGTCGTGTGAAGACTTGCATCTTCATGCATTGCAAGCGTCTCGCCCACGGAGGCCGCACTGCTAGCCTGCAAGCGACTTGAGGATGCCAGAGCGACTTGTGAAGCCCGGTGCAAGCCGCGCACCGACCAAATGCTACGAGTCGAAGTCTGTGCTCTACGCAGGACACAGAGCAAAGCCTGCAACTCTGCAGAATAAAAAGCTTTCTCAGTTCTCTCTGGTTCTCTCTGCTTGTCTGCCTTGAATACCCGGAGCTCACGCACGTCGAGAATACGACTTGGTCCAGGAAGCTGCACATAGACGTAGCGGCCATATCGCCCCTGCAAAGAAAAGCAGTTTGCTGCAGACTGCACGGACGGGCACGAAGCTGTAGTATTGATCTTAAAGTCCCCAGTCCTCCAATCCTACTATGCGGGAACCACAGTTGAGAGACGACAGCGGGGCCTGGCAATCTCCAGCATAGGTTTGTCCGGTGCCGTTTTGGTTGCTGCCTGTAATCCGCGTGCAGATCACCCCGCCGCAAATGTCACCTAATCAGGGCAGCAGGGAGGTCTGACAGACTTCCGGCAACGCAGTAGCAGTATCAACGAGGTGAATGACTTCCCCGAGTAGGGGCTGAACAGCACACAAACGCAGCTAGCTGCCTTCACAGGGCGTCATGCTGATTCCAATGCTCGCCCCTTGATCAGCAGCGGAGTAGTTGCCTGAGTCGATCTTAGCGCACTTTGGTAAACTTGCCCCAGTCAGTCGCTTCAATGCGCAACTCCGGACGCATCCGGCCCACAAGTTGCCACAGGACAGCAGACTCAGAACAGGCGAAATGAAGAGCCGAGGGGCCAATGTCATAGTCCCAACCTCAGCTGGCAGTTGCGAACATGCGCCTTCTAGTGCACTTCGCTTGAAGTCTCAAAGCCTCCTCTTCCTTCTCCCTGCATCGGCGCAGAACAGTGCGCCCTCTGCTAGACTCCGTACATTCCTCGACCCTTGTCGCTTGTGGCGAGCTCTGAGCCAGGGGCTGCATTCGGTTCCTAGGAAGAGCCTGGAAGCGCACTGGTCGGCATCCGAATTCCTCGGCGAAGCAGAAAGCAGAACACAGCTTTGTCATGGACAGGAGTCCGGTCCAGTGCAAGACGAAGATGCTCAATGTGGATCCTTCCAACAGGCATGGGACCTAAGCTGCAAGCGGCCTGCAATCCGCCGTCGAGTCACCCTTGCAGTCTGCCCTGCCGATCCCGGACGACAACCGAGCATGCGCTGACCATCCCAGCTAAGCCACTGCCGAGGTCCACCTGTGCCCAGGGACTCCTCTCGTCCACCTCAGGCCGCAAGAAATGCCAAGCAAAGCAAAGCACAAGCAGCAGCTCGTCACGAGATGACATGAGATGGGCTTTGATCTGGATCCACTCTGAGAGTTGAAAGGCCATGAGCTAACTACGACTAACCTGACATTCCCTCACGAAGCTTTTGGATTGACACAAGGGTACTGGGTCCGCGGACAGAGATCGCGCGTGAGTCCAGGGAGCCATCGTTGAGGGCGCCTTGCCGAGACTACGCCGACTCTACCAAGAGTTTGCCATGCTTCAGGCACCCGCTGCTATACTGCATAGAGTCTCCTTGCAGGCTCTTGCAACAAGCCGGTGCCACAGGGTGCAACTGCGACCCAGAAGCTTTTGGAATGTGCACGGAGCCTTCAAGTGTTTCTGCCTTTTTGGTCTGAAACCACATCCCTATTTACTCATCTATGGGCTGCGATTTACCTGCTGAAGTTGTCAAGGGAGGAAGCATCTGCCATCCCCTCCCTTCCGTGGCCTTCGGTTCCAACATTCAGCGAAGAGCCTCGAAACACACGCATCATCGGCGACGGACAAAGGATGATGGCCCGAACAAAGACATGCCGATGAGGATCATGGTGCGAGGAGGAGGAAGAGGATGAGGACCAAGACCATGATTTTGCTCATACTGATGATGATTCTGATGGTGCTAGTGATTGTGCTGGTAGTAGCGGCATGGTGTTATGCTGGGTGGTGTTCGGTGCTGGGTGGCGCTCCTGGCGCTCTCGGTGCTCGGTGGTCTTGGTCATTCGTGGCGAGTGGTTGTGGCTACTGTTGTGATGTGTGTTGACAGTGGTGATGGCACGGCGAAAGCAATACAGTAGAAATGAACATTCACGTGTGCGAGGTCAATGTAGATCATCAGCCGAGCTCCGCACTCATGCTGGCCGTGCCTACGACCGCCAGATTCATGTCGGCCTGGCCGAATCCCATTTTGGCGTGGTCAGCGTGACAGATGCCGACGAGTGAATGAAAGTTGCCACGGTCACTGCAACGCGTGCCTGGATAGAGCCTGGCATCTTGGCCTCCGAGAAGATCCTTACGGCTTCCGAGGCCCGACGCGACCAACAACAGTCAGACCGCTCCCGTTCTCATGCTGTCACGACTTACGCAGTTTGGGCATTGGTCATGTGCGAGGCATAACTACCAGGTCACCAGAAGCAAGCTCACAAAGACTTCAGTCAGAATCTGGGACCACGCTGCCCGTGCCGCTAAAACTCTCACAGACCATGTCAACTTGTTGGGCTGGCATCTATGTCGTTCTTAATTGCTGAGCCGGTATTAGCAAAGACGAAGTGCTGCACATTCCGCAGCTCTCCAGGGAATGCCTTTTCACCATCTTCACGAGAGCCAACCTTGGTTTAGAGTCTACAGGATTGCATCAAACTTCAGAGAGGAAGTGCTGAACAACCCGGAAAACTCCCTCGAGCCAATTTGCCTTTGTTGTTTCCGTTCAAGTCTTGTCTGAGCTCAGAACGCAGAAGTTGGAGGTCTGAAGAACACCTGGGTCTGCGGTCTGCGGGCGACTGAGATGCTTCGAGCTGACATGCGATGCCAAGGTACTCAGGAAGTTTTTGGCCTGCTTGATTGCAAGCAGAGCATGGTCGACCTCGGCTCTGTGGAAAACGCTCTGCTTTTCGGAGCCTTCCTGGTCCTAGCCGCATCCAAACAAGGAGTCCACGGGTCACGGACCTTCGGAGGGTTGACCGTTGCAGCTCGCAAACAAAGCATGGGCCACCATCATTCAGTTGCCGAGTTGGTTGCTGTCTGCGGCCCTGCTGTTTGCAGCGTAGTTCACCCAAAGCAGCTCATATCGGCTCGCCGTTGCTGGATCCGGAGACATGAAATGGCTTTGATGCCAGGGGTTGGCCCATGTCGAGCCCCGGAACAGCTCTTCCTTCGGATGCTAAACCGGAAAAGGCTGAAGCCGAATCAGTCTAAGTTTAGATCCATGTAGATCCCGTGACCTTTGCGTCTGGGCTGGCTTGCATCCGTCCGAAACCTTAAAATCCTCAACCCCGCAACTCCAAAACCATCAACCTTTCATTCAAAGCTCCACCATCAAAACACTATGCCATTGGTTCGGCATGCCTTTCACTCCTCAACACCGTTGAAGATTTTCAAGAAGACTCCAGAGCCCACAGTGCTGCCGAAGTTGCCCAAAGCTTCTGCGTGACGCCATCAAACGTCGACATGATGCTGTGCCTACCAGGTTCGAGAGTCTAGCCGATTAGCCTTCAGCGCCTCCATTCTGGCACCACACTCTTGTGTTGACAGGCTGAGGCTTGCTCCACTTCTCGTCGGCCAAAGACTTGTTGAGCTTAGCCTCAAATGGGTTCCTGCCCCAAAAGCTCTTCCTCGGTTCTCCAGGTTTATGGGGAAAAGATTCTGAACTGCAGAACGACGGACACCGACACAAAGCCTTTGCCCTCACAATGCTGGTTCGACATATGTTGCATCGCTTGCTGCCAAGCTGCACTGAATCTCCACCGACCACCAACATGTGCTTGCGCATAGGCAAAACCTAGCAGTCGTAGACTGGTCTGGTTCCGCTGGCCTTTACTTCGGTGGCCCTTCCGTTTCCTCTCGCCCGGACTAACTAACTATTACGCACAGGTCACCTGAGACTTGAAGCAGGGGGAGTGCTGTGTTGGTATACTGCAGCTAGCTACGCACTCTCTTGTGCTGCACACGGAAACTCTTGCCAGATGCTTGTATTGGAGTTCAAATGCCATGGCCTCGTCTTCGGAACCCTCTTCGGGCTCAGGGACGAACAGGGGGTCCTGAACCAAGGACGTGCCTCACATTGATGGTCTTCCGTACAGAGTTGCCCCTCCGTGCCTTACACTGCACCGGCTGGTTGATCAACTCGCGGGCTGAATCGCCAGTTGCGCGGAACCTGAACCATGCAGCACGGTTTTGCATTTCAACGCTCGACTTCTCGTCTGCCTCCACCATGGCATGGTCTGCACCTTGGCGGTTTGCCTGAGGCTGTGGCCGCGCGTACCAAACGATGCCATCGTTGCTGGCAACGATTACCGCCTCCTTCAGCCGCGAAAAAAGCATGGACAAGAATGCGATCTCTCGTCAACAGATTTGGGGGGTGGATTTGCCAGCCAACATACATCCAGAGAGTAATCGTAATCGTTTGACCGGACATGCACAGACCCATATCTCTGGGTACCGCCACGCAGAACGAATCGAGAACTCAAAGTTCAGTTCCTACATGCTCCTACAATCCTACAACTGCACCGGTCTCCTGTGGAACGTGATTTGGACGCGCTGCGTGTCGCGCAGACCGGATGACCTGTGCAACTTCTCTACTGTTCTGTTCGCATGTGGTAATGGCGACATGTCAAGCACGAGAAACACACGTGAATAAAACACCTGCTGGCCTTCGCGCTGCCCAGGTCACGGTAGATCAAAGGAACTTGATGCTCCGTCCAAGACACACCCCAGTTCTGCCTTGCCAATTTCACCGACAAAGCTGTTATGAGCTACTGCAAGAAAAAGCCGAAGAAAGAACTGCTTCCATGGCTTGCGTCTCATCCAGCTTGGGCCGCAGCTGGTTGGGCTTGTACTGAAGAAAATGTCGCCCTCGATTGCTTTGTGTTATCTGGACACCAGGGCTGATGAGGCCTTGGATGTAAACCTGGCAAGTCCAAGGGCCGGAATGCGAGATCTGCAGGCCAGCTCGAAAAAGTCCTAATTTCAATTGCAAACCACTACTGACTACTAGCAACCACGGGTGCCAACCCTGCACCTCGTCAGCTGGCAACGACTCACCGGTGCCATCCGCTGACTCGAAGAAGTCCAAATAGAATGGCCTCATTGGAGGGCTTCAGCGTGTTGTCTGGCAAGAGACAAAAACCGGAGCGCCCGGCTCATAGTAGCCATTCGCAGAAGCCTCTACTGCAGCCAGGCCCCAGTAGCGGGCCTGCCACACATACGTGCGGAGTGGTAATCTCGGGACATGGCATAAAGGCTTGGCACAGCTCAACGAACAAACCTGAGAGGTTTCGAGCACTGAATGCCTGGAAGGGGCACCAGGCCTGGATTTCCCGCAAACTTTTCTCGAGACGTTCTAGCAAGCAAGCACACATGCTGGACCGTGGTTGACCCGTACAGTGGGGTACGTCTCGAGTCTCAAGTTAACCAGCATGTTCAAGACCCGTTCCATCCTCCTCGATGACTTCATGCGCAGATGCCGAAGAAGCTAGGAACCGATATCAAGTCTTGTCACAGAGTCTACCAGCACAGCGCACCTTCAGGCAAGGCGAGGCAGCACGGCCCTGCCGGAGTTCAGTCTTCGAGTGTCTTTAGAGCTCAAGAGCTCGAGAATTTGATCTTCACGTCCATAGCATCTTGTCAGATTTCCGTGCAAAAGCCTAAAGCGCCAGTTTGGCTTCTTGCGTCGTGTCACTGCATGCAACATCACGCAACAAGAGTTCGGGTTGCCAGGTCCACGGAAACTTCCACCCTAGAAGGAGCGGTGCCTCGTCCCCGTTTGCCTCGGTGACGAAGAATTCGGAGCTTCGGAAAAACGTGCGGACCGTTTCCGTTGCACAAATTTGCTCACTGATGGCCTTGCCTAGAATACCTTCAGTCAAGTCGCGCCCCAGGTGATAACTTGACCACCGGCTGCGTCTTGAAGCCTCGGAAGAAGTTGGCTCCAGAACAAGAGTCTCCAGCAGGAGCCGCTCAGAAAATGAGGACTTCTGCCCAGCTCGGGAATATCTGCGAGCTTTGTGATGCGGCTTGCATGTCAGGATGAGAGCCCGGCTTTACTTCCGCGTAGAGCGTGTACCTGTGCAAGACATGGAACTTACAGCGCCTTGAGCTTCTTCGCGAGCTGAAATCCAGTATCCAATGGATTTCTGAGAGCTCTGGTCCAACCAAGTCGGGCTGACGCGCCCCGTGGAAGCATCTGAAGGTCAATCTGGGACCTGGCATCGAGCGTGGCCGTCTTGGCTGTCCGGGGCTCTCAAGTCTGGACGAAACTGAAACCATTCGAAGTTAAGAGGAAGGTGTTGTACGTCTGAAGTTCAGGGGCGAGTTTGTCATGTCTGGAAGCGTCCGAGGATGCTGTACATGCGGAGAGGCTATCGAATGCAAGGTGCAGACGTTGTAGCCCATAGATTTGGGGGTGTTGGGACTTTGCCCTGGACTCCAGGCGGTCTGACACTTCGTGTCGCTCAGAGTCTCCAGGTGATTGACCACAGCACCTTGCTACATCTTCCGTTCCGCCCTGCCCGAGCGCACCGCAAGCATGTTGAAGCTCGTTCATCTCCCTCCTGAAAGGGCCACACTCGGCAAATGATGTGAGGAGCGGTTTTAACACCAAGTGCATAATAACCCTCGCCGCTCCTCTTTCTGTCCGGGCATTGGCTCCACCTGAGCAGTGGCACGATTGTTCTGTCAAGTGGCCCCGCCAACCTGACCCAACCCGCGATCCAAACCCCCTCAACGTCCGTGCAAATGGTCCAGTCAAGGAGCGTGTTTGAGAACTTGGCCGCGCAACTGCTGCAGGCTCGGATCCTGCTTAGAGGCTTAACGATGGAGACTAGAATCTCGAGCTAGGATTTCAGATAAATGGCAACCGCTGCTCGCACGGTAGATGTTTGCCAAAAGCAGGGGGGGCCAGGCCAGAACCATTCCGAACAGAACTTGCTGACGATCCTGGAAAAGAATATGTGGATGCACTCAGAACCTAAACTCAGGGCAAATCAACTCCAGTCCGAAGCTACACCTGCACGTAATCTCAACCCACAACAACTAGAAGTTCCAAACTGAAGTTGTGAGAAAGAGGGGTCTGTTCGTGCATCCAGCTCCGTTGAACTCCTGGTTGCAAAGGTCATCTCTCTCGTTGACGTAGGGATGCCACGATGAGTTGTCCGGGTTGCCTGGCACAAGCTCACGCTCATGCATGGTCCAGCTGGCTGCGTTTTCATTGCAGATCCACTTGTCATACCAGCTCCACGAAAGCATAAGTGGGGAGGAGTCCAGAAGCCAGCAGGCAGTGCCCTCGGAGCTCCAACTAAGTTGCCCAAGCTGCTGGACTGGTAGTCTGTGTCATGTTCCCATGCAGATCTCATCCAGCACCTGCGAAAGAAACGGAGAGGATGTCACAAAAAGAAATCTCAGCATAAGGATTAAGAAGCAGAGTGCTCTTCCATCGAAACTCCGCGACCTGCCTGTATCCGCCGTTCCCTTGCTCCATGATCTCGAAGCCGATGCACCCACGACCTGAGAAGCAGCCGAGAGGAGGCCACAAAAATGATTCTTTAATGAGCCTGCATATGAAAGTTCGACACGCTCCCCCTTACCATAAAAAGCTAGAATAGGCGATCTAGCCGAATCGACCCGTCAGTCTGCAATCGAACCCCGGCACGTGTCCCGTCGCTTTACCGGGCTCCCGACACGCGCTGCAACGGGCCTTTCAATCAAGCTGGAAAGCCTATTCCCGGCTTCGGCTAAGACTGACAAGAACTCCGGAGCTGCTCGTTTAGCTAAAGGCTCTATGGATGGAGGCGCTGAGATGGCTCGGCTCGCCCGGTGCTGCAAGCGTGCCTTTTCTCCGCTAAGGCCATAAGCGGTGTAGGCTGGTGGGTAGGGCCCCAACTAGCGAAAGACCACCGCCGACGAGAGCTTGACTTCAAGTCAAACCCAGGCGTTCAGATCCACACAGAACTTCCGTAGAAGCTGTGGGTTGGAGCTAGATGTAAGGCAGCAGCAGAAGGATGAGCTAAGGATCCGACATTGGAAGGCTGGATCAGACGAAGCTTAGCTTTAAGCCAAGGGAGGACTTCCACAACTACAGCGGCTGCTACTGTTCTCTTGGACAGGGATGCTGAAGTCGAAACCCGAAGGTAAACGTAGAAGAGCACACCCTGTGTCTGCCTCAACCGGACTGGCTCCGACAGAGATGCACACCAATTGGTTTCCAGATTGGCTGGACACCTCTCACAAAACCTCCACTCACTGCAGAAGGCAAGGCCAAGCACACAACTCCACAACATGACTACTGTATATATGTTTGCACTGATCTCTGCTCTGTAGACTGTAGAACAGCACTTCAAGCCCTCTCAACTAGATGGCCCAACGCGAGCTCTCGTGGTTCTCATATGGCACTGCGGGAACGGCTACACGAACCCTCCCCGCCGCCTCGAGAGCTCCAGTCACTTGCTCGCACAGGACCCCTAGTCAAGCTGTCAATTCGTTCTGGGGTTGTGGGAGAGTTGCCCGAAGGGGGCTTTCACTTGGCGCGAGTGGCAAAAATTGTTCCCGTCGTGTGTTGCACACAACTGGGGAATACTCAAAGCACGGGTCTGGCATCCGTTTCTTGAAATGCCGGCGTCCTTCCCGAACTGTGTCCAGGGCCCCACGATGCCCCACGCTACGCTGTGGCACGCCGTGCGCAACACCGCAGCGGCCGGACCGCGGCCTTCGGCTTGACGGATTGAAGGATTGACGGTCTCCCACCGGTGGTCAGAGCATGATTTCTCAGCGGTAATAGCTCAAGCTTTGATCCTGGCTTCAATCCCGAATCCCTTGTCGAACCCTTCCGCTGCAAGCCTTGGTGTAGTTGGCCCAGCGCACAATCCGGTTCATCACCTCCAAAGCCAAATTTTCGGCGGAACGTCTCAAACATCGAGGCAGCGGCGTAGGATCCTAGTACCGGACAGAGGTTCAAGGCCCCTCTGTTGAGGCACTGGCCGGCTGCAAGCGAGCCAACTCTGGGCTGCTGTGGCCGCTCGCATCCACCTTGCGAGAGACGAGAGGCCCCCAACCACGATCTGATCTACAAAGGTTGCAGCCCGAACGGCCCCGACCTCCCAAAACGCTCTTAACAAGATCCCGAGTAGGAAAACAGACCGCAGTACCCTGCCCTGTGTTCGCTCAGGTGCCGGGATCGTGATCGCGGCAAACATCGCCGCGATTGCAGCGGCGTTGGCTGCGATCTCGTCACCAACAGCCATCTGCACCAGTTGGACGCTTGCTGCAAGTGGCTGCTCTGGTTATACGTTCATTTATGTGTTCCTGTCTGGTCCTGGCGGATGTGAGCTCGCCCTCGGTCACAAGCACTCTCGGCATGTTTGCTGCGGTAATGTTCCGGCATGCTTTTCGCAAAAAGGCACAGCTTTTCGAAGATCCGAATGGCCCCGCAGTACTGGACAATATTAAGGTCATTTGGCCTTGAGCTCTGCCGCGCAACGGTCCACTTCCGCCCGTGGGGAAGGTTTGCCTGCGCAGCACAGTTCTAAGCAAAGACTATGCCCTAGCCCCAGTGCTCAAAGATCCATGCAAAGTCTTTTTGCCTTTTGCCAAGCCTGGCTCGGCCGGCATGCGCTCGTTGCCCAAGGCTCGTCCCAGCGCCACCATAAGGCCGATCTCCTTGTGGAGTTCGCCTGCCAACTAGTCTCTGACGTGCCGTCACCTTGAGAGGCTACAGAAAAATCATTGCAAGTTTCTTCCACCCAGTTACTGACCAGACTGTGTCGACCCTGTGGCCTCCAAAGGTCAGGATAAAATCCTTAGGTACCCACAGTCGAAGCCAATCATGGGCTTGCGAGGATACCACTGAAGCCATCTGCAAGCAAAGCAAACAAGCCAGTGATTGAGGTTTACGGGGGCACTTCAGCCTGCTGTCCCAAAAACTCCCTGCCATGTTGCAATTTCCTGCGAGACCGCAACATAGTCTTTTTGCGGCAAGGGTCTCTCAGCGACGCATGCCAGTCAAATCAGTAGGCGCATTTGACGGCGCCCGTGTAGGCAGATGCAATACCTCAACAATGACCATAAGGTGACTTCCGCTCTGCAGGTGATTTGTCTTGAGGCTTCGCGAAAACATTCGCCCTCTCTTGCTCGCTCTCCTCCTCTCGCAAAGTTGCAGTCCCTGAAATCTAAACCCTAAAACAAAACCCGAAGCCGCAAACATGAGGCTTCCCAGGCCATTGCTACATCCGAAACTGACAGCCGGCCTCAGCAAAAAGAAATAAGTTCCGTATGGGAAGCTATCTTCCTTTGCCCGGTTCTGTTCCGGACAGCTCAGCCAGGCAGGATGCATCAGAACGAGGTCAAGCATTGTGCATACCGGTGTCATGGCTTCATGCATGAACCAAGGCGCAAACTGTGTCATGCCTGACAAAGGGCCTTTTCACCCTTCTCCAAGCCTCCCTCTAATGCCAATATCCTACGACATGTCTTGCACCCCCTCAACAACGATCGCAAATAACTCATGAGGCCCCTCATCTTGGCTTGGAATCGCAGTGTCTGAGACTCTCTCCTCACTTTCTTATACTGCTTCCATGACGAGCTCCCTGCGGGTCGCAGATGCATAGTTGGAACTCGCGACCCATAGCACAGAACTGCAAGCCACTGCATGCTCTGAAGGCCAAGCAACTCTCCATGTCTGCTCTGCTGATCGACGCACCTCCCATTCTCAACAGGATCGACGATTGCACCGCTTTGACATGCTTCGTCAGCCTTCTTTCTCGAAGCTGCCCAGCAGACGGAAGAAGTCCACATTCGGCGGATAAGCAGTCTGCGACCATGCGAACCAGTCCTGGCGCGGAACAACGTCCGACATGGCTTAAGGATGGTGCATGAAAAGTAGCTGTAAAAGTCACGAAGGCAATGAATCCAAGAGGAGTAATTAAGTAACCTCTGAGTTGCTTGGCTCATGAACGTTGTGCAACGGTCTAGTCGACTCATGGTGGACTACCAAGATGACGCAATTAAATCAGGATTCGATTGTTTCCCCAGGGCACACCCAAGGCGGACAACGATCAAAGCTTACATCCGAATCAATACCCTAGCCACATATAAATCGGAGAAACAGTGTCTCCAAGAACCGACATACCACAATGCAACTCAATCAGCTGCTGCCTGAACACGCTTCGGATATCAGGCCTCACCTATTTGCCGGCAGTCAGCACTGCCAATTCCACCAGAGGCAACAAGGTGATCCAGGTTTCAGGACTGAAGAAGGCATCAAAGACTATTATATGAGATCGCGAGTGACGTAGCCATAAGTAGCCATCTTAATCGGGTCACTATGGGTGTGCCCTTACTAGTACTAACAATTAGCTAATAATTGGGCCGCAAACCAAACAGTTAAATCATGATTTACAGGAGGTTCCGGGAAGGGAATTCCGACAGTACTCGAAACACTATTCGATCAAGATTTCTCTAGTAACTATTCTGGTAGACGCTAGCATTGTAGTAGAAGTCTACCACAGCGGAGGCAGAGTGTAGCAAAATGCCCAAACAAACCCTTAAGTCAGGATCCATAAGTTCGTTTGACCGTCGCAACAAATTAAAAGAATAGTAACCGTCGTAAGCTTCAAGACAGGTCTAGAGGGAACACTAAAATTCACGATCTTCTGGAAAACACAAGCTTCCATGCGAAGTCTGCGGCTGCACAAGCCTACTTCAATTACAGACCTCACTGCACTGTTTGCCGATACTCCTATCTGCGGCGAGGAGCATACGATGTGGTCACTGCAGGCTCCCACTTGCTGCCCGGAGCGTAAGCGTTCGTGATGCTCTTCACGGGCGCGGTCTTGACCAGACCTCAAAGCAGCCGGCTTCCGCCTTAAACACAAGCTGGAAATAGCCGTCAAGCAGCCCATCTTCTCGTAGACATCGACCTTGATGTCCTTGTCCTGCACAGGCAAAGGACATGACAGACAAGGAAGAAGGAAGCCTTTCGTTCGCTCGGTCCTCCAGCCGTGGACCCCAGGCCCTGCTGTCGAAGGAAAGGCCGGAGGAGCAGAAATCCGTGACTCTTGCAAAGTAGGGCATCTCGTCCTGCGATCTTGGGAGCGAGACTAGCGCCCCCCGAACAAGGATCGTGCAAGATTCATCAGAGAGGCGGGTCGGCCAGGATGCGCCAAGTCTACCCTCATCTAAAGCATGTAATTTAAGTGACACCAAGCAGCGAGAGCAGCTCTACCAGGGTTACCAAGAAGGCGTAGATGAAATCATGACTTCTTCTTCGTGGGAACTACAATAGGGTGCCGCTGAGCTGTGATGCGCAATACACAGCGGCACAGCATGTGGCCCGCTACATTTTTCGTCCAGTATTGTCAAAACTGTCTCGAACCATGCCGAAGGATTTTTAGTCACGTTGAACCAACCGTAGAGGTGCAAGGATTTTCAGGCATGTTCAGATGTACTTGCCCGGTCTGACAATGATAAGGACCAACTTCCGGCAAGCATGCGTACGTGAAGCCTTCAGGAACTACAGGTTACATTCATGGAAAAACAGCTCTCCTTCTCGGGCATCGATGGTAACTCTGGACCTATGCACGTCTGTGACACCCGAGGCAAAGCTGAATGTCTGTCATCTACGTGGAGCGACGGTCAGATGGCAGTTGGATTTGTAGATTGAGGCTTGAGGCCGCTGAGGCAGGCGGACGTCTGACTTGGCAGCGCCTGGCTCGCCCATTCCCCGATGGTACGCACGGATACCGACGGCAGCAGCAACCACATCGACCACCTCGGTACGCTAGGAGAAGTGGACGAAGCCTGGGAATCTGAAATATCTGAACTACTTGCTCAGGGAGTCAAACCCACCGAACACACACACCCCACCCTTCCTGGACCTCCAACTGTCCATCTCCAGTCTAATGACCCGGGCACCCGTGGAACCGGCACCTCTCAAAGGCAGCCTCGCGGCCTCACAGAGACGGACGCACTTCTCGTCGCGCAACTCCTTGGAACCCTCCTCACTGACGGATGAAAGGTGTGAAGGCTTCAGCACTGAGAACAGCTATTGCGAAGATGCAGATGATTCATGCCAGCTGTTTCGAAGACTCGCATCGGCTCCTTCAAATCTCCAGCGTTCGGCACCTCCCCAGCCTCGACCAGGACCTGCAAACGGAACGAGTAGCGCTTCTGCAAGCTACGATTGAAAGCAATCAGCTGGACAGCATTTTTGCCAATGCAAAACTTGCAAAAGACAAGTCCTCCTCTTCCTCTGGCTCCTTCCTTCCTTCGTCAAGCAAGATGCCATGTTGTAATCTTGCAACCACCTCCGATGTCTGCATGTGCTGTTTCTGCAACCTCCTGCTCCTACCCAGACTGTGCGGTGTGGGCAAAAGCAGAATAACGGAATCACATGTGCACTTGCACCATGTGCTTCTGCGCAGAATCGCCAAGGAAGCATTGCTGGATCTAGTCAGAAGTGGAGCAGTTTGGACAGTTGTGTTCTGCGTCAACTCCCACTGTGTCCTGCAACATCGTTTAGATGCTTCCGCGGTTGTACCTGCTGGCCTGTTGCACCACTACGCAGAACCCGATCGAATGCCCTGAAGCTCTGATGCAGTGCTTGATGGCTGGCGATGGCAAAAGTCGGCCTTCCACAAGTAATCGGCAGCTTGGAAATACCAGCTCGCATTCAGAAGATGCTGCCTTGGACATAGGATATAGGCAGGAGGCTCGTAGTCGCCAGAGCATACTGGCGCAGACCCTTGACGTATCTCAATTCCGCCTTCCGAGATGCTGGTTCGCCACGGCATGCACAAGGACACCCAGGCGGCCACATTCCTCTTATCAAAAAGACTGGCAAGGCTCTACTTCCATGTAGCGTCACGCCCGCATCTTCTCCTCGGGCTCATGGAAGTGGTGCTCGACTGAAAGGACAGCAGAAAAGGGATCCTCACAAGTCAATTGTATGGGATGGATAGCATTCGGGTAAGACCGGGTTTTGCTAAGGCCCTGCACAGACTCCGCAGAGGTTCGCACCTTGAACTTCTTCTTTCGGCCTTCGGCATGTAGTTTCTGGCAGCCTCCGACGGCCAAGCCACGAACAACTTGAACAAGGGCCTGCTGTATCCAAGCTGCCCCACATGCTCAGGAAGCGGAGAGGGCACCACCACAATGATCATCTGCATTAGCGGCATATAGCATGCATGGTGTTATGTTCACGCCAATTACCGAACAGTCTGGGATAGTTGTTGAATCATGGTTTCTGCATCTATCAGGTATATTGGAACCATCTGGTAACAGTCAAACTCAGCGCGAGAGCCGCTGTGCCTTCGCACTCGGCCGTTTCTGCCAGGGCCTGCTGTGACAAGTGCTACTTTGCTTCAGATAGCAGAGGCTGCCGCTATCATGCGTGGGACATTACTCTCCATGCCTTGCGACAGTAAGCAAACAACTTCCGGACGTGAGTTACACTTCGCTTGAAGAAGCCCTGGGCCGATGGGTCGCCACTCAGCCAGTCCTATGATTGCCACGTTCCCAGGACACCTCCCGCACGAGCTGAACTCTCCGCCAACGTCTCAGGAAGTCCCCCCGGCCGCAGAGCTGGACAAGAAGCTTCCTCGGGAAAGGCAGCGGAGCTTTGTGCCGCGTAGCAATCACGGAAAAGCTGCGAGCAAGCCTTCAGGTCAGCCAAAGGCGAGAAAGCAAAGAACCATCGAGCATTTTGACAAAGCCTGCCCCTGACTGGACTCAGTCATGCTTCTTGTTCGCGAAGCGCATGGCCTCTGTCTTCTTCTTGGCGGGTGGTCCGGGAACATCCTGATCATGACTCGCATGGGCGATATGTCAGACTGGTTGCAGGCCTCTGTGAGCCACCTGAGGGACACCCGTAGCACAGGAGCCCTTGAGATCACAGTCCCTGCTCCAGTCCTCGGCTTTGCGCTTCATGGTGTCCGGTGTCCGGAAGTCGCAGTGCCTAAAACCCTTTTGAGCCAGAGCTGCAGACAGCGAGGCTTGAGGCTTCAGGCGGGGGGCCCCTGTCCCTGTCATTCGAATCCATAGCCGGAGCACATGTGGCATAAACTGCGGCCCAAGCCTTGCAGGATGCCAAGTCCGGACACCTCAGGGGCCATAAGTCAATGAGCCAAGGCGAATAGTGACGAGAGAGAACAGGAACAGAAGAATCGAAGGAGCCAAGCTGGATGAAATGCTGAAGCGGCTTTCTCTGCACGGCATGCACTGGAATTTGAGTACATGGGTGTTCCCCGTGTAGCGTCTCAAAGCCGGGCAATAGGAAATAGACCTTCTGCACTTGGGTTCCGCCCTTCGTCGGAACTGCCAGCCCAATCGAGGGTTGGGTGGGGTTGGGGTTTAGCAACGCATGGACAGGGACGGACGGGGACGCGGCATTGCCGCTGTGATCTACAATGTCTTCATGCATGGTGTGCTTAAATGGAAAGACTGTGCCCACTTTGGCAGGCTGCAACGCAGTGAAGCCGGGTCATGCACGCACATATCCTCCTACGCAGGCAACCACTCAGGGCTTGCATCGCCACGAGTAAGCATGTTGAAACCGCAGATGGGAAATGCGGTAGAATCTGTCCCACCACCAGAAGCGGTTCTTGTCCTCCGTCTCTCCCGCCGATATCGTTCGTGCTTCCATCTTACTACGTCACACCACAAACTGGTAGCTGTGGACTCTGACATTCTCTGACGACGAGGTAACGTTTCGTGGAGTGATTTGTGCGTCGCAACAGGGATGCGAGTCTCGTCAACAGTAGCGAACCTTCGTTGCTGGCGGTGTGCACGAAATGCCTGTCTTTCTGGTGGCTGATTCAGAGATTCTTCGAGCACAACTTCATCCGGAGATTGAAACTCTGCTCATGGAGGCGTCAGGAGTCTCTCCCTTGCACAAGGTGTGGATGGGTTCAGTGAGGTCGAAGCAACATGCTTCTGGGTCGGGTGACCGAGAGCGGGAACGTCGGAATTCAAACTGAGGCCGACAGCTGCACGGTCCAGGGCCCCAGCGCTTCAGTGCTGCAACCCTCTCCGCCTGGTGACTGGAGGCCACAGTCCAAGGGAACCTGCCAGCAAAGTCTGTTAACCATCTTTGGGTTCATGCTGTTTTCGAACAAAGGCACAGGAACTACAGATTACAGAACCCGTCAACTCCGACGGCCTCAAGGAGAGGTGTTCGGGAAGAAGCTACACAATCTCGAGTGTTTAGAGACGCGAGGTTTGCCGGTGGCCCTCAAACTCGAGAGGGATTGAATGGCAATGGTGCCCTTCGGCAGGGATTGCTTTCCAGATCGATTCCATTCAGCTGGAAACCGCGACGTCTAGGTAAGACGGTCAGACATGGGCATCAGAAACTTTGCATCCGAGTTGCAGCAGACCGCGCGATTTGCTTCGTCCAGCCACAGTAGTGCACCGTTCTGACAGCAAACTCTCGAATTGGCAAACCCCCCTTCTCTGTTTTTCGGACCAGAGTTAGCAAGAAGGACGGCCTTAACAGATTGCCAAACGATGTCTGTCGTAACACTTTCAATTAATCTCACGCGCTGCGACTTGACAGGGCACTCATGTAAGCACCGTCTCTGCTCGACCTCTGCGTCGCCGCACAGGCACCATGTCGGGCATTGACGTAAGACTGCCAGCTCGCAGAGTCCGGCGCCAAGGACACGAAGTCCTCAATGCCACAATGCGCCACAGCTGTCCGCATCCGGCAATGCTGCAACCGGGACTAGCTCTGAAAACGGATGAAGTCGAGAGGCTCTTCCGGAGTGTGTCCAGCCTCGGCTCTGCAGCGTTCACACAGTTTTCTTGCTGCGGCGGGCTGATATGATGCCGGAGGCCTCAGGATTCACCCCACTTCTTCGGCCACGCGGCTGCTCTTCATGTAGCAGCGGACTCCGGAGTCCGACAAGGCCTGCGTTCCGCGTTTACAAGCTCCGCCACACCGAAAGCCCCCGAGCTCTGCCCGGCCTGGTAGGAAAAGCCCACGCATCCTGTACAGCGATCGCAAGCCGCCTGCAATTTCCGGCAGAGCCTTTCTTCAGATTTGCATCCCCATAGTCATACTTGCATCATGCTTGAACCTTCAACAATCTGCAGCCCGACAGCGTCGACTAGGCATGGCCTGACATGCGAGGACGTCGATGCACGAACCTGCTTGGCTGCCAGCCAATCCAGATGAGGACAGTGGCTACGCTTGCGCAACCAGTTCATGCACAGAAACTGTTGCTGAAGGTGTGGCTGGGAGGGGCCGACATGCGAATATATCTCCTGTCCAGTTGAATCAAGCCGCTGTGGCTGCATCCGTCTCCGTCAGGTGAGTCCAGACCTGGAGCACGGCACCATTTCGAATCGCTGTTGTGCGCTTCTGACCTTCACCCATGTTTACCAAAAAGATGTCCCCAGGTCAGACACAAAGCAGAGTTCGCAACCTTCGCAGGATCACTCACGAGCCGAGCCGCCGCAGTTCAAGGGAGTTCCAGTTGAAGGCTTGGGTGTCCATCCACAGTAATGCAAGCCTCGCAGGTCGTGATAGAGAGCAAAAGACAATCTTCAGCACACGTTTCAACCAGGCACACCGGGGCCGCTCACTTCTACAACTACGGAGGAAACCTTACAGACAAGTGAGTCAGCGACCCCAGACCTACCGCGACCGAGGGCAGCACCTTTCTTCATACAGTTCGCATCTGCTGGTGTGCCAGAACCTGCCATCACGGCTTCGAAAATCTACAGCAAGCCGAGACTTCGCTAGCTTTTCGAGCAAGTGAGCTGGCAGCCTCCCCTCAGCATTTCCCGGCCTTGTACTATGTCGACTGCGGTGGAATCCAAGTTGGTTTCCAAGCCTCATAAAGCCAGTGCACAAGAGCCGTAGTTGACGAGAGCAGCCACTTCTCGCATACAAGCTTACTGGACACTGATCCCCAACTGGTAAAGGAATGAAAAGCATCCTCAAACCTAGCAGCTCCAACCATCGGGGATGTCCATGTTTGAGGACAGGTACAGAGTACCTTGGCAAGGGAATCAATGTTCCGTTTGCTGTTCCGAGTTCGCCAAGGGGGTTCGAGCGTCCTGGCCCGACATCAACCAATTCCGCACTCGCATCACAAGTCAAGCACTGCACCGTTCTGCACACGTAATGATTGGAAGTTCGTCGCGGTTTTGGCACGCGCTTCATCGCAGCAGGTCGGGGCTTGCCTTCATGTCTGTAAGCTACAGCCTCAAGTCCGGGCAAGCGGCAAAGCTCTGGTTGGATGAAGTAGCCGAGGCATTCAGACATCTCCTACCAAGCTGTCATTCTGCACATCAACTCAAGCCTCAAGCTGTGGGATTTCAGGCCGACATTCCACTGTGCTCCAATCTGCCGGGCCTCACAGTGCGCCTCGCAGCCCGCTCTTGTGCTAAGCGGTCGTGAGGCAGCGGCTGCCTCACGGCCCTGGGCATCCTGCAAGGAGAAAGTCTCAAGCTGCAGAGTGCCAAGCTCGCCCCTTGATCCCCGTGGTCCTGACAAGTCCCGGAGCCGACGCTGTAGAAGGCCACCTGCAAAGAGACGAGGACGAAAAGCGGAGTCTTGCCTCTCAGAAGTCCGCTCTCCGCTCCTTGTCTCGCTGCGGGCTGCAGCTGAGCGCGAGCTCGAAGTCCCAGGCCTAAGGGGAGGAAGTTCAAAGCCAGACTTCCGAAACGCGCTCGGGACGCTCGTGCTTTGGCCTTCGTGGTGGTGACGGTCGTCGGGCCGGCCGTCGTCGTCACTGAGGCTGGCTTCCGTGTGAAGGCTCGCGTGATCTCGTGCGAATAAGCCGTGCCCAGCCTTCCAAGCCGACACAGCCAGTAGGCACATGGGTGACACGGCGATCAGAGCTCAGTCCCTGAGCCATGCGCTCTGTGTAGACCATGCAGTTCGCAGCATTGGAGCAGTCGCCACCGTCTGTGTTAAAGGCGATGCAAGCCTCGCTGTTTCAGGTCCGGGAGTCTAGGTAGGTTATCCGTCTGCAAACGTGCCTTTGATACGCAGACTCACACCCCTCCAAACAAATGTTCAAGCCTTACGCCTCCAGACTAGGAATTAGGATTCAGAGCTGTGCCCGTCAAAGCAAACAAGGACCTTCACGTGCAAAAACTAAAGATTCTCTCTTGAGGTCTCCTTCCATCCCTCAATCACCGGGGCGCATCGTCCGGATAGTTCAGGCATTCCCTGGCACAGCTTTCGCAGCCGGGCGCATCCACAGGCCTTGGAGCCACGCGGGTAAGCTGGGAAGAGAAGACTGAGACAAGCCATGGAGCAGGTAGTATTCCATGCCGATTCTGGAGAAGCCATCCCTTCCCGCAAGGGCGATGCTTACACTCCTCTTCAAATTTCTTCAGACTGGGGCGCCTCTAGCTGATTCGATTGGAAATGCAGAATGTCCAGGGCGTAATATTGGCGGTTTGCATTGTCTGCCGCACTCAAGCGCGACCCATGAAGAAACCAACCCTCCCGGACCCAAGAGTTCTGCTGGCCCGCCTGAAGTTTGACCAATAGCCGTTTCCAACGAAGTCAAAGCTGTCCAGCGCCTGGAGAGGCTAAAAGCTCACGCTCTGTGGGAGTGTCCGAAAATAGTGGACCCTAATATAGTACCCTAAATCGTAGGATCCTTACTATAAGGACCCCACAATAGGGTACCCCTAATTTTCGGAAGCTCCCCTGTCGGCAGAGACTAAGACTATGGATGGTCCAATGATGTCCAATGGTCGAATCTTGCAAAGCCAAGAGGCTCGAATCATGGGCCCCAGCCCCTTTACCTCAGCAACTTCACAAGATTCCCCTGCAACTCAGCGCCACTCTCCGAGCCCCCCGTTCCATCTAATCGGCTCTCCGAGCCACGGCCTTCCTCGCGCAGCAAGCACAGCCTCCGCTGCATAGGGCATTGGGCGACTCGCCCAGATTGAAGGCGTACCTTCCCGATGCTCTCTTGAGAATAACTTTACACCCCCCCGGCCCCGAAGGGGTTGCATCTTCTGTTTCTGATGCCTCCCTGCGTTTTGCTACTTCTGCCAGAGCTGATACCAATAGCAGCCCCGTGACTCTTACTGGGCAGCGGGTCTCAAGTTTTCTAAACTATATTGCGAGAAAGCTGTAAAACGATGTAAAACGTCCTCCCTGAATGTGCGGTCTGAGTCTCGTGTCTTTAGGTCTGGCCCTCTCTCGTCGGGGCATCGGTCAGCCAAGCGGCTCCTGGCCATCTCCCAGCTCGTTGCCACGGAGGCAGCGCTCGGCGTCGCTGCCCTGGAGCGCGTGATGTGTCGTGAGATGTTGCGGACATATCGTTCTGCGTGGGAATCTTCGGGGTTCAGGGTAGCATTGATCATCTTGTTGCTGCCCACGTGAAGATCTCCGAAAGACCGTCCAGCTATGTCTATCCACATTTGCAGCGGCAACTCCACGTTCATGACTATCAGAGTCTTGGTTCTCGTTTTTGCCCGTGGTGTCCTGCTCCGTTGGGAGCTCCGCGCAGCGGAACTGGCTTTCGAAGGCCTGCACAAACGGGCGCGGTCCAATCAATTTGGTTCCACGAGCATTACTCCACGAAATGAACATCGACCAAGATGCTGCAGCAGCCCACTCGACACGGTAAATGTGGTCCTGCCAAATCCAAACCCAGAATCGCAAAGGGAAACTCAACTGTTTCTGGACAGAAAGCGGTCCCCGTCGATTCCACCCACGAAGGTATAGACACCACCCCAGGTATCTGGCCAAAGCATCTCCTGCCATTTGCCAAAAAAGCAAAGGATGGAATCTGGTGTCGAGTTTGGAGGCAATGTAGCGGATGCACAAAAAGTTGAATCATGCAAGCATCAGTTCAAGATCAGTGGCCACCAGTCAGGGAGCCTGAGAGGGGGAGGTGCCATGTGAACGCCATGATTTCCGTCTACCCTCCCTGCAAGTCCCCCAGGAAGTCATCGCCGCCATCCAGGCCCAGGGTGAAGGAGCGCTTCAGGCAGGAGACTACCTTAATAACGTCCCGCGATCGGTCACAGCGCCTGCCCCCTGCCTGAACTGTGCAATTGCTGTCAAGAGCGCCATTGTCACTGCCCGAGGCCCATCCCAGGAACCGTCAAACCAACTCACGCCAGGCTCCTAGCAATGGCACGATTTATCAGGCAAGCCCATGCGCAAGTCGTGCCGTAGTCCAGGCAAGAACGGAAAAGCCCCGCCTCCGCCGGTGTCGCAGCCCCCCTCTGGGCCTCCCAGCCCCGGGGCACCGAAGCCAGCGCAGCAAAGTCTGAGGCTTGGCAGACCGGTTGAATCGAAGTCTCGGTATTGTTTGGGACTCGCAGAATGCAAACGTACAGTGTAGTTGTAATTATGGTACAAATGGTACGACCTGCACATGCGGGCGTGCGGGCTCAAAGACTACGCATGCTTACCTCCATGCCAGGTTGGAATCTCGCCCGACTATGCTCTTCTTGCCTAACGGCCATCATCCAAGTCAAGATCAGTGTCGACAACTTAACAAGTCACGCACCTCTACAAACTGGAAAACTAGAGTAACTAGAGCTCAAGAATGCGGGTGCCTTGGTCGAAAAACACACTCTCTCTCTCTCTCTCTCTCTCGCCGTTACCCGTTGATCTGACTTGGGCCTCCAAAGTCTCTCAACACTTAGATCCAGAGATCATAAAGATGTGTTCGGCCTTTCCCCTGCCGCCGGCTTCGATCTGTGATCCCAGTCCTAAAGATACATCCAAGCTTCTCTTCCGCAGTTGTGTACCATTCCCCGACTGCGTCGACTGATCGCAGCATGCACGGCTGGCAACTCCAACCTCCAAGGCCAGCGTGGCAGCTTCTATGCTACCAAAGCTCTGAGCAGCCGAGGCCGAACAACTAAATAAAGAACCCAGACAACTTACTCCTGTTCCTCGGCACTGGCGGCTGCCCACTTGGGGCTCTTCAGGCTGGTGCTCAGAAGGCTACCAACCATGAATGCGCAATGCTTCAGACTACTCGCGCGTTGCATCAGCTTCACCAATAACAAAAACCAGAAACAGGATCCGACCGCACCATACTCTATCTTCAGCATGCTGAATGCTGAAACATGGAATTTGTCCAGGCCTGATGACGGGCTCCTTGCTCTATGAAGATTCTAACGAGGTAGGTGCCGCTTGAATCACCTCTCAGGCGGCTTGCTGAATGTTGCGACGTAATTCTGCTCCTAGGGCTCAGAATCGAGCGTTGCAGCGGACTGCTGAATAGAACGATACCCAGAGACTCACACCCTCGCGGATTCTGCGGGTGCGAAGCGATCTCTCAGTCAAGTCATACATAAGGTAACACATGGAACCTTCTGGAGGATCCTTTGGAGTTAACGTTTCTTGGACTTCGTGGCGCTGCACTTATGCCAACAACATCACCCACCTGGTCCACACATCTCCTGTGATCCTCGAACGCCGCTGAAGGTCTTGCGCCCCTGGAGCCAGCGGTTGCCAGCGACGGTTTTACCTGGAAAAAACTCGCACGTGGCCTTTGCCTGTGTAACGCCAGTCACGGTCTGATGGAAACAGAGGCCAGGATGCCTGAACCCTGGCTGCCCTCAGCAAGCAGCATTGGACCAGCCCTGGCAGCTCAAGGAATGTCTTTTCCGAAGCTCTGCGGAAACTCAATCGGTGCATGGCTGAGATGCAGTTGCAGACGACTGGAGCTGCAGTCTGGTGATGCAGCGATTCGGACACACAGCACGAGCCCTCTCTAGCCCTGCCGCCTCTTTGCCGAATCCGGCGCTGCGTGAGTGAGGACGGCACAGATCTGGCCGCCTGATTTGTGTAGTAATTTGCACCGTCGCCGTACATGATGCTCAGAACCTACGAGAACAGTCTGCAGTCCATGAATCAGCTCGCCTGGCAAAGGAACAACATCAAATCGATGGCTGAACGGATCCTTCCGATGCGTTGCTGCCTGAGCAGACGACATGTGCAGCCACCAGTGATGATGGTGGTGGGCCATGTGGGGCCACGACAGTGTGCGATGCCACAGAACAGTCCGGGAAAAGAGCTACAGTCAGTTTGTTCGGTGATCGGCAGTCCTTGTGAGTCTTAAGAGCGTGCTTGCTTGAAGGGAAAACTTTGCGGCAAGCCTGGCCTCGCGATCACAGGCCACCGGCATCGGTGGCATGGTGCACTTCCTTCGTCGCAAATCTGAAACATCAACGTGAGGAGCAACGGAGGGGTAGCAGAGCCATGACCTTACCACCAAAAGCTACTGAAAACAGAAGCAAATGCCAGAGCCCAGCTTCTGGTTCAAGTCATCAACACCGGAGCCGATCACCACTGCAGTCCGCACATCCTTCGAACGCTTCACGATACACGACAGCAGGAGGACAATGCTAGCAAGCTGAGCTCCTTGACAGCTGCAAGTCCCGGTGCCATGCAGGAGGTTGCCAGCTGGGCTGGCACCGGACTTTGAGTGGCAACGGCGCAGACCTCACTTCCTGCAAGTAAAAAGACTTGAGCTCCAAGAGTTCAGCACGAGGACATGTGCCGCCGACAACCGTCCTGTGGAGTACGTGAGGTATTTCGCAGGGAAAGCGTCCTTGGGTGGTTAACCGACTCGGAGACTAAGATCTTCAAAGAGAGGACAGAGCAAGTGCGAGAATGCCAGGTGGCATAGCGGTCATCTCCGGCCTCTGCTGAGCAGAAAGCCTTGGAGATCGACAAGAGGTATTCTTGTACTCACTGTGGCGGAAAAGCGCGACTGCGGACGTGTGGCTTGGGGGGCGCCGTGTATACCCGAGTATGCGCGAGTATGCGTGGGCCGCGCGGGTATTGAAGAGTATGTGCAGGCTTGAAAATGTAGATGGTATATGAGAAACTATAGATATTATGAACCTTATATTTTATATTGCATGTCATATGTGTTACATGTGGTCAGGCGTCTGGCGTTCCCGCCCTTCCCCCCCAATGGTATGGTCTGGTAAGGGGGGCGGGGGAGGGCCAGCGTGTGCGGACAGGGGTCGGGGCGTTGGAGGGTCACAGAGAGGGCCAGGATCGCATGCAAGCCCTTCCCAAGCCATAAACCCCATAACGTAGCGCAGCAGCGTGTGGTCCTGTTTGTATTAACATTAACCTGTGCTCTGACCTCTACACCCAACCCTGAACCCCGACTAAGTGCAGGCTCTAAGCCTCAAGCAGAACCGTTATATAACCCTAACGAACCTACACCCCAAACCCTCTCTCAGCCCTTGTCGACTCGAAGCCTTATACCTTTTAACCCCTAAACCCGAAACCCAAAACTCAAAAGCTTAAGCTAAACCTAAAACCCCAAAACCCCCACAACCACGCCGCGAGGGGAAGAGCATGGACCAAGGGGGAGGGGGGGACCGCGGAGCGCGTGACCATATATTGCGCATTCTATACTTTACGTTATGTGCGGTATCATACTTTATATGAGAACTTTCAAATTGTACTTATGATGTTATACAAGATAGGTAGTTCTAGAATATTATGTGTTCGATATTGCCCATTATAATTCATACGTTGTAAAACTACACTTTTCAATATTGTATAAGCAACATATTTCCTATATGCTGCGTGCTGTATTGTAGTGATTATTATGGACCTTGTTTTCGATAACTGCTATACAATATAGCGGTACTCGAGCATACTCGACCTCAATGGAGCGCACTTGAACATACTCGAGCATACTAGAGCGTATGCGCGAGAACTCGAGTGCAGTCACCCATCGCGTCCGCAATGTAGTTGCAAAGCATGTCTGGAACTGCGTGACCCTTCTTTGTAATACCCCAACGCGAGCCACAATCATGCAACGAGGCTATGTGCAGCCTGGTTGCCGGTGTGTCAGATGCGGTGCAGTTGAGGGAGCTTCCTTTGCTGCATCGAGGAAGGAAGAAAGGAATCTGAGTCCAAGTGAAGCCAGGCCACCCGGGCTCCCAAGCAGCTGACCGACCTCCGCGACCGGTGCACGTGCGGCCTCCGAGGCGGACTTGCACCTCGGCGAAGTTCCCCGAACATCCCCGAACCGCTTCCGCGTCCGGACTTCCGGGGGCGAGCCAGGGCACGAGATGATGAGTCGCAGCTCTGAGGTCCATGAGGCATTTGGCTCGTCTCCACGTTTGGCACAAATTTGGCCATCCTCGGTCTGTGCAAGCACGTGCGTGCCTCGAAGTTGCATCCAGATGCCTTTGGTGACCTTCAGAGTAATAGCTTTCAACGCAAGGGACCGGCTTCGCTGCTCTCGTGCTGTCACGACATGCACCTGCTTTAATAACACTGAAAAACATGAGCAAACCAAAACTGCGAGAACTACCCGCCGTATGCTGGCCTGCCGCGACTCACGTACAAGATTTGGGTTGCTACAGTCTTGAAAGATTTGGCATGTCCCTCTCAACAGCAACCTGGGTAGTGGAAGCCTCCCACGAACTTCATTCCCTTGCAGTCGGGAGCACCATGTCGAAGATGGTGAAGCGGTCGGGGAAGTCGTCTCCGCGGTGGTTGCCAGCCTGTCACCATGTAAAAAGGCTCACTGGCATGTTCTTTCCCCAGTCTGTTCCGGCGGTGACTCGAAGTGCCGTGCAGATAACAGAAAATGGCAGTGTACGAATCAACTCTGTCGGAGAAGGCTAGACATTGTCCCACACAAGGCTGCCATCTTCCGCGGTCCATAATTTCGACATGCCGAGGCCATGATTGCTTGGGCCCGATAATCGCGTTTGCCACCTTGGCCCGCCGGTAAGCGGCTGGAGCCGACCCAAGAAAACGTGCTCATTGCCTCCATATGCCACCATCGCCTAAAACCCGCCAGTGGACGGCCACCGTAATCCCAGCCCAGCACAAGGCCCGTCAAGGTAGCGGGCTGCGTGGCCCGGTGAGACATGGCGTGACGTGACTTCCATCGCGCAGCACGCACAAACATGGACAGAGTAAGTGGCTTCCGGAGCAACCGGTTGGAGAAAATGTTGCAAAAGGCGCCGCAATAACGTGCAGCTCAAGCGTGCAGCCGCTGTTTCAAAGGAATAAAATGCTTATGCCTATGATGCAGCCGCTGCTGTGTCGCGTTAAAGGTGCCCAGGACCTGGTCTCAAACAGAGGTCATGGCAGGAACCCGCTCTTTCTGACCAAGTCCTGCTGCTGCTGCTGCTTGTGCTGCTGCTCTGCTGCTTGCACCCTCCCATCTGTCTACTTCCTTGCACAGGGGACACTGGAAGGCGTTGGCAACGAAACTTCAGCCGGAGCAATCCCACAAAGATGTTTCCACCAACGAAGCAGCATGCGAAGCATGTGGCCCTGAAAAAAGCTCTCCTGACAGCTGATGGTTGTCGTGAGAACGACATGGCGAGACGAGACAAGCCCGGCACTTAGCACTTCAACTTGCAATATCCTCCTCCTGAGGCCGGGACCTCTGCATCACAGGCGGTCGCCTGCTGTCAAGGCTTTGCGCTGCGGCGACAGGTCGCTGGATTTCCAGTGTTGCTAAGCTTGCTCGATGCACCGGTTGTGCAGAGGAGCCGCCCCAGCCTCGTCAGGGTCAACACATTTCACATTCTCATCGCTGTGCCCGAAGTCGATCGAGACAGTCATCGGTCCTGAGTGGGATGCTACGAGGCAACCGCAATCTTTCCCTACACCGTCGATTATTCTGCTTTCCCAGATTCTTGTAATCCGGTGCTCGAGAGCCCATTTCCACAACCCTTGAAAAAACTTGAATGAGCCTTCTTTGGCTATCTGGTCTCCTTCAAAATAGATTCCGCTCTAACTGCAGCACAGCTAAACACGTCTTTGTTCGGATCTCGGCTACTGCGCAGTTACTTTTCTCAGCCTGCCTGTTGTGGCCCAAGTCCAAGGGGCCCTCGTAGATCTTCCAGGTGGCTCCGGGCCAGCTCACCTGCCTCGAGGCGAGAGAGGGAAGGGATAGGGATAGGCGGGATAGGATGTGCGGGATGTGTGAGATGTGTGGGAAGCTGGGAAGGCCTCTTCGGGTCCCCACGTTTTGGGGCGTCCAATCTGGGATCGACGCTCCTCGTCGCACTTTGATGCTCCGGCCTCGTCTTCCTGGCCTGCAGCAGGGGCATCGAACCGGTGCCTGAGCCAAGCTGATACACTCCGTAGGCGAAGGCTTGAGGATGCCTGCTGGCTCGTAGTACGATTCTACATGTCTCACCTGTGCACCTTGGTAGCCCACCACAGATGCTCAGGGAGCCGTGAAGTCGCAAACAGCTTGCTGCGAGAATGCAGTCGGAATGAAGCTCTCACAGTGGTGATGCTCGGTGCCTAGCCCAAACACAGGCAGCCTACTATGCCAGAACGACCTTCAGGATTCCCAAGTAGTCCCGTCCGTAGCCAGGCGAGCTGCCAAAAACTCCACCAAACTGGCAGTCTGACAGCGGAAGGTTCACCGCTGGCGCCGTCTGGGGATACCTGCCAGCTGACACAATGTCTCCAGGAACAGAGCTGATACTGCATGCTTTCAATGCCGGGGTCTAGTACAAGCGTTTAGCTTCAAGCGATCACCACGAACAACCGTGTCCAAAAGCAACATCCGCGGCAGCAGCACCGGCAACAACCACTAAGAAAACCATCAGAATCAGCTGCGCTGACATTTCAGATTGCTCGCTGCACGAGGCTTTTTTGACCTTGACATACCTTGACTATTACTCGACCTACGAGTCCTCGGAAGCTCATGAAGGCTCCTGCAAAGCCGGTGACGGTCAGCAGATCTCTGTGGGGAAAGCATAACACCACTCCGAGACATTCCAAGCTGTGAAATCTGCAAGCGACGCAATAAGGAAACAGGCGGTAAGAATCCCTCTAGCCGAAGAGCCTGTCGCCGAAGAGAATGCGCAATCCCTGCGAGCCGTCCTCTCGCACAGGTTGCTACTAGTAGCGGCAAGGGTTGACGTGCGGTTGCTGAACGAATGCTTTCAAGCTGAAATCCACACGTCCTTCTTCGGGTACGTGGTGACCGCAATGAAATGCTTGCCTGCACGGCTAGCACACTTGTTTTCAAGCTCATTTTACGATATCTGCAGATCACACGTCGACTTCACGCTCAAGGGCACTATTGATCAGAAACACCCCACGTAGCAGGCCGACCCTCACAGGGACTACGCATAACTCGCATAGGACCACCTTCTGCTGCAGGGCCCCAATCCCCTGCGGCAGCACCCCGGAAGATGTCCGCGATGGAAAGCGGTGCCTGGAGCCAGCCGCGAGGCATCACAGAGTCTTGTCTGTTCTGCACATGCGATGGCACCGGGCTGTTTCAGAACCAGGCAATGTCCTGTGATAGGTCTTACCAAGGCACCAGGACAGGAACTTTCGAGGGAGCTGAGAAGCCTCGAGGCAGCTCCCTGGCAAGGAAAGAAATTGGAAGGAGCATCTCTTGGCTCTACCAGACTCTATCAACCTTTCACGTGGTACTGACTCTTTACATTGAACTTTAACAGGTATTGCAGGGTTCACAACACCGGGAACTACAATCACAAAGATTCCGCTTCTCAAGGAAACTTGAAACCTTTTTTCGCAAAGACATGGTGCCAAAGCCTGAAAGAAAGTGTTCACCATCGAAACGAACTGGACTGCCGGGCCTGTTCTTGGTCCCCACGCACCGGGAGTCTGCGAGGCCAATTCGTATCCAGCTTGGTGAGCTGCTTGGCCAAACTGCTGTGGCCAACCGCATCCACGCGGCACCTTCGAAAAAAGCTGACTCAAGCTACAAAGCGCTCCGAGCTGTGTCAGCAAATCGAAGGCCTGGCCCCGCCCGGCGCTTAACCTGCGAGATCGGAGCACAAGACACCCCAAGCGCCGTGCACATCCGTGCATCGTCACACCTGCACCGCGGCAGAGGGACGGCAGCCAGAGAGCCTCAGATTCCGAACCCAGGGAGTGCTCAGAGCCTCAGCTCCCCCCGGCAATTAGATTCCCCTCCCGGGGAGACGACTCTGCCGCGCTTTGGAAGACCTTGATGCAGCCCACTTCGCCGGGCACCTTCCAAAGACGCTGCAGCACGGCGCGCTGTTCGGTCGAATGCCACGTTCGCCGAAACTTATCGAGCCTCGGCTCGCACCCACACGGCTTGTCGGCCCCAGGCACGCAGGGGCGTCACATCGAGGCCATCGACCTTAAAGACACGTGCACTCGTTTTAGGAGTCGCGAGCAACCGTCTCCGGTTCTGAAGATCCGGCCAGCTTGGAAATAGCCAGGCTCGGCTCCGCAATCTCTGTCCATTCCGACACACCTGCATCAAAACCACAAGATAAGGAGACTGCTGGTAGCACAAGCAGCCAAGATATCAAGGGAAGTTGAAGCGGTGACCGGCTACAGACCTTGTGCGATACCCAGTGCAGCGCTCCCACGGCCGAAGGCTTCTTGCTGTCCCGCTGGATGACGACCATAAACTCGCCAGCCGCGTGCTTCCTGCAATCTTCAAGCCTGAAACTGCACAGCCTTTGTTGCTTTGTTGCACCCCCTGGTCCTGGACCAAAGTGCAGGTCGCTGATGTCAAGCACTCCTTCCGGCCGCTGGGGCCGCCGACATCGAACAGGGAGAAAAAGGCGTGCCTGAGGGCCACCCAGGTTTTGCGAATCCGACCCCCGATTTTCTCGGCCCAAGCAAGTCAAACCTGAATCTCTCTCCCAGTTCATGCGAGTGGCCCGGCATCGACGGCCTTGCTCTGACACTCCCCAACGTCGTTGACACCGACCTACAGACAGCGTCAGAATGCCTCAGAAGAATTGCAGCCTTCGGTGGCCTTGGCTGTCACATCCAGCACTTTGCAGCGCGTGTTGCTCTTCGAGGCCACTGGCCAAGGACCATCCTCAGGGGTGGCTCTGTTTCCCTGGCACTCTCGCACGTCCGTGTCGGTTGCTGCCCCAAGCTCAACCCTGCCCCTCAAACGAGCCTCTGCTTTTTTGGGGCGCATGCAACACTCGCACGTAGACGCCTGAGATGCAAAGCGCTTTGTCAGCATGTACCCAACGGGGCTCGGACTGTACTTGGGGCCTGATCCACTGCATCCGAGCCACTTCGCCGCAGGCCGCAGCAGAAGTGCCCGCACCCACATTGAAGATGTACCTCAGGCTGTCGGACATTGCTAAGCGAAAACCCGATGGAACAGGTTCGTGTCCCCTAGCGACCCTAGCGCTCTACTGCAATTACTGCAACAGATGCTCTGACCTCTCTGACTCTAACTGCTTCGCAGTTGCTCGAAGCCGTCACCAAGATCGTTCCCGCTGCGGCACCTCGACATGTGATCTCGGCTCGGTATGCCGAAAGTGACACACGAGGACTCGGAAGGCGAAACTGGCCTGGCTTCCATGGAGCCCTTCTTGACGGGCAACCTCGGGGCTGAGACTGGTCACTGCCACTGCGCCTACCTTGAATGCACCTCCACGTACGTTAACAAGCGGCAGTGCCATCTTCGCACAGCTGACCTCGTGCGCCGTGGCTGTCTGAAGGGGTTTCTTCTTCCTGGGCGCCACAGGGCCGGGCACGGCTCCTCTTACTCTCTTACTCCACACACTGCAGAGAGAGGACAGGCCGACTTGAGCCGAGGGACTTGTACATGGCGAAGCCCGGGGCTCCTCGGAGCACGATGACAGCTTTGAAGCGCATACTAGACATACTCGACCGTCTTCGTCTCGCTAGGGGCAGCATCCGGCCTCCCATCTTGTTCTCGCAATCACCAAAGGCCGTGAAGAACTCACATCCTTCGGAGCCCGTGGAGACTGGAGAAGCTGAGACCCTTCATGCAGGATGACCATGTGAACAAGCTCATTGGATGCATTCCAAACCGGTTGATCATAAGGTCCTAAGCCCGAAACTGGAAACAGGACTGCACCCATGCCCTGAATGGAACTGTTCCTCCTTCTTGCTGTCAAAGGCTCTGCCATCCTTTGCTCGATATCCGAAAAATGTGCAGCTCCTCTCACGAACATCATACAAACAGCGGCGGACTCCGGTCCTGTTGCGGATTCCGGGCGTTCTCTACTCAAACCGACAACGCAAGAAAAGTAGTGCCAGCTGCCAGCACATCAGGCTTTGATGTTGGGTTAAGGTTAAACCCGAACCCTCAGGCGGGTTCTGCGGTAGGTTGAAGCCGTCTGCGTGGCCAGCGGAAATGAAGGCCAGCTCTTCACACATTTAAGCCCATCAGCACTGCTGCTTCTTCGCCCACTACCTACTCGTCTTTGTGTGCCCCTCGAGCGGTGCCCATTTCGGCTGGGGGGGTCTCTTCTTTTCTTGTGAAGTTGTGACCGTGATTCTTACCGCTACCACTGCCTCTGCTGTCAAAGGTTGTGCTGATGCTGCGTCGATGCTATCGTTCTTGCTTTGGCTATGGCCGTTGTTGCCGATCTTGTTAATCATCTTAGTGTTTCTGGTGCCGCTGCTGTTCATGCTGCAGGGACTGCCGTGATTGTGGTGGTTGATGTGCCTGTGGGGTGCTGCTTGTGCTGAAGGCTTCGTACCACTTTCGTCATCGCGTGAGATTTATGGAGCTTAGGTTCAAGGGTGGTTACATCATATGTAGCCACTCTAGCATCTAGTCTGGCTGTGGTCTGCCCCAGAGATCTAAGACCGAGCTAGAAGTCGCGATGTGAGCGACAATCCCCTGCAGTGTCACAACTGGTTGAAAGCCGGCGTCTCCTCTCGGAGGTGCAGAGGTCCTGGCCACGCAGTCGAACTAGGTCACATGCGTTGGGCCATGTATGAGCAAGTGGAGTACTGTTCCACTGAGCGGGGTCTTAGAATGATATTGAAACTCACTACAGGAATCCTCGGAATCGGTTTCTTGGGGTTGGGAGTGTTCCCGCTCCTTGCAGGCATCCAGGCTGTCGTAGAGTCCTGTCTCACCAGTACAAAACGCATATCTTTCAGAGAGAACACTTCGCGCGCGCGGCGCAACCCTTTGATCCCTGCTCCTCCTCTGGCTGATCTTCGGCCTCCTAGGTACCACTGCCCATCTGCCCCTGCTCGGCAAAGCATGTCTTTGGAGATCTCCTGGCAAAGAGCGCGGAACGCGACTGGAGCTTGTCATACATAGCCCATCGCAACAGCCGAACAGAATGGACATGAATAGCAAAGCAGCAGCGGAAAACACTAGCAGGATCAGCAAATTCTGACGGTCGGGTACAGGAGACACCTTCAAGCCTAAGCAGGGTGTAAGCTTGTGATGGAACCTGTTACTACAGCTGAAGAGCGGTCCTTGTATTCGTGGGCTTGAAGGCCGTCCTCCACTTGGAGGGTCGGTAAGAAGCTTGCGCAATCCGGATGGTTCGGTTTTGAAGATTCGACTGCCATGGCTGGCATGGACGCATTCATAACACTCCAAGCATCTCCAGACTGATGCCAAACCCTGAAGTCACTTGATCCGGAGCCTCGTAAGTGCTGACAGAGATGGCTCTCGAGTTCACCTGACATGCAAGCCGATTCTTTGAGTTTGACCCTCAGGTTCAAATGTCTGGCTCCGGGAATTCTATAAAAACGCAAGCACGCGCCATGCAGCATGCAGAAGAAGCGCAACGGGGGGCGGAAGTTGGGAGTTTTGGTAGGGCTGACCTTACCAAGGGAGCCTGCCAGGGTCCCACTCACAAGACCGTGGAGGATATACGTCCGCACACCGCCGTGGTTGCAAAGTCATGTGAGAGCCTGGGCCTCTTGAAGCCGTCTCTTGCAGCACGCCCTACGACAGATGTGTGAGAGCCAGCAGAAGATAGGGAATACCACAGCAAAACCCTTCGCAGAGACTAGGTGGACAAAACTAAACGAGCAGGCCGACTCCGACACTGGCGCCAACAAAGAGCAAGAACACATTCAAACGCGGCTCGAACACAGCCAAAGCCAAAGCACGCGAAATGGCGAAAGGCTAACCGAAGTACGGAAACGAGGGGTCAAGTGCCCACACTGCAAGAGCGGCAAAGCATGCCAAGCCTGAAACCAAGACAGAAGTTCACCACCAAAGCACACAAATCCAAAAGTGAAGCGGCGAATGCCAGACCGTAATCACCTGTGAAGCACTAGCCCCACTCTACAACAACATGGATCTCAGAAAGAGTTCCGAAAGGCAAATCCGAAACCCATCACGAAGTTTATATTTAAAGGCTGGCAAACAAAAGACAACGCCAGCTGTTTCAAAGTAAATAGAGTTGCATCGACCAAGCTGAGGAGGGTCCGGGGCTCAAGGAGAAGGTTGCTTTTCTCAGAGGCCTTGCTGAAGAGAGTATGCCCTCATAAAGGTCAACTCGTACCACATGAACGGAGTCACGAAGAGTAAACCATGGCAGCACAGATCTCGGAGCCAAGGTAATCGCCCTCGCGGATGTGCCAAAAGGCTTGAAGTGCGAAGCGAAAGTCCCAATGCAGTTTTCCATGGATGCAAAGGCCTTTCAATGGACGGATGCCCGGAAAGGCCAAGTGAATTTGAGTTCACAGCATCGACCCAGCATCTGCTCAAAAAGAGGAACCCAGAGAGTCCTCAGTTCCGCAGAACATCGCAAAACTTGATAAGCACAGGAACAGCAGGCGGCCAAAACCCACTCATATACCACAAGAAGACCCAGTCATGTGCCGCACAAAGTTGGCGAAGGCGACTAGCGAGACGAATCCACCGAGACTCACCCAACGTCAAGTTGTGCAGAGTACCCGTAGCGGTGAAGCCTGTAAACGCTCATAACGAGCGGCTACCGACTGGTGATTGCCGCTGCTGCAGTGAGGCTTGGGGAGACCAGCCTCCATGCGAGCAGCCAGGGCGGCCCCGCAGCTAAATGCGCGACTCGACTGCAGTGGCAGCAGCTAGCTCGAAGTTCCACCACAAGCTCCCCGGGTTTGACAAAGGCATCACTTTCGAAACACCTGTGCAAGGCGGTCCTTCGTACTCACCTTGTGCTGCATTTGCATTTGGCTGAACAGCTGATCTTCGTCCCCAGATTCACTGTGTTGCCCATTCTATGATCTGTGCCGGAAGTTTGTCCGATATGCCAATAGCACCACGCAAAGACTCACGTCCGTGAATCGACGGCTGGCTTGCGCGGGAAAACACAGCAGGACATCTCCAAATCTCGCCAAGTATTGCGTTGGCATTTGCTCCGAGCAGCCGACTACAGCCGCACGGAGGGGTGAAAGAGCTCGACTACTTGAACGTGAGTTTGCGACAGCAGTCTAAGCTTCGGCCTTGTCGCATTGCTCAGGCTCCCCGCTTGATGAGTCTGTAGAAGGCATCACGTGGAGCGGCAAAACTGGGGGTTCAAGGTTGAGCGATACTGGTGCTCTCACCTGCGAAGGAAAGCGCGAAGCCTGGGTTCAGAAGGACGCCTCGAAGCCGGGGGACTGCAGGAGGGAGGGAAATGCCGAAAACACCTTGAAGACACAAAGCCACCGGTTGGCCAGCCTTCACCATCCTACCGCTCTTTTCCTCACCACTTGATCTCTATGCACTGGCAGACTGGCACTGTGCGATCAAACCTCTTCAGACCAGGCGTCTCAAGCTGCGAGAAACGATGCTCGAAGTCTCACGACACTGCCGAGCCATTGGGAGACATGGGGGCTGGTCAGAACACGGCTGCAGCTCTTCATAAGCCCAGTCGCTGTGATCTGGTTCCGGCACATGCGGTCCGAGAAGAACCTGAGCACCCCAACAAACTCTTCACGGTTCCTGATGCGGCTGAACACAATCCACGTTCTTCACAACTTAGGGTTCGTAAGATATGGTGAATGTGTGGCTGTGAATGTGCTCGGGTTTGAGGCACCTGCCACAACAACTCGGAAGAAGCTGTGACTGCATTCTGCACATTCTGCGGCATCACCCCCAAAGGAACATGCTGGTGCTCAAGCCTTCAGTCTTACCATTCCAATGCACGTAGACTGGCTAAGACATGCACAAGAAATGTGGTACAAAGGAGCTGCTCCCGGAACACGCCTGCTTGCCGGGAGTATCTTGCTGCAACTGAGAATCTGGATTTCACCAATATCCCAGCAGCTGCTGTAGCCGGCATCAGCGCTCCTGCCGCTTTGACTCGTGCTATGTTTAAGCTGGTTTTGGCAAAGAGCTCTGCTCTGTAAAGGAGGTTTCGTTTCCAGGAGCTCGGTTTGGTGATGTCGAGACACGCCACTTGTAACGGGACCTTCGAATTCGGATGGTCGAGGCTGGAACAAGATGCCGACGGCGAGTGGAGACACGTTCTGCATGTTGTCGAGGCCGAAAGGCAAAACGGCCCTGGTAGCCAGTATCGATCGCCTAAAGGCCTGTCCTTCCTTTTTGTGCTTTACCTTGAGGTCATCGTCACACGAAGCAAACTTCACCAAGCTTGCAAAGATCAGGTTTCCAAATTACAGGAATTACGTTTGCAAACAGGCAGACGCTTCGCGGAAGAGCTTTAGATTCTAGATGGAAAGAATTGCTGGGCCGCCCGTGCACAAAGACGTGATCGATCGCCCTTTAACTCATGACGTCCACTAGGAGCAGGAGAGCCGCACAGAGAGGTCCAACCGTTCCTACATTGGCTGCCACTTGCACCCAAGGGAGAAAGCTGTCTGGCCGTCGTGTACAAACAACAGATAATATGGAGAAAGTCTTTCCCAGAGGACCCACCTGGTGGAGGTTGCCAACAGAGCATACTCGAAGGACTTGCCACCTTGCCCATGTGGGATTGCTGTGGGTCGGGATCGTACCGATGAAGGAGACTTCGCGAGATCCACTACAGTAGTTCGGGCAATATTCACGAGTTACCTGGAAGCTAACGCTGAGCGGCACTGGGAGTGCATGGCTACTTCTGCTTGCAGTTACACATTGCAGTCTTGCAGTTATCTTCAAGAGAGTGCAGCACTGTCTATCCGCTTCTGCCTGAGCCTCCTCTCGGCTTCTTTGCTGCCACCGATGTAGACGTGGCGGATTCCAGGGAAATAAGCGATGCAGTGCAGTCGCAGTTTCCCCACCTGATCGCGTTACATTCGGACAGTCACGGATGTGTTTGTCCGAAGCTCAGCGTGACCGCCAACAAACCAGAGTCATGCCAGGGCACGTATTGTCCCCAGCCACGGTGAAACACCACGGCCGATCGTGACCCTCTTTGGTACAGCTCTCGTAGGTCTTTCCGTTGAACCTAAGCCCGGTTGATGAAGTGACAGGCTTCTTTTGGGTTTCTAGCTGTTCGACAATGGCCGACGACCATGGTGTGAACAAGCTTAGAGTCTTTGGTGCTGAAACGTCAAACTCAGCTGATTCAGAAACTAAGGCCGACGAGCAGCTCAAACGGGAATTTGCAAGCAGCTCCACCCCCGGTGCCACCACAGCTGGGTGTCACAACCTGAGGCTGCAGCACATCACGTATCATTGCAAGGCCGCTAGAAACTCCCAGCTCGTTCGCACCCGTCAGCCCTGCGCATCCTGCGCCAATGCGAATCCGCAGGATCCCTAAACCTTCGAGGCAAGAAGCAGATTTCGCATGAGGCACTTCATCCGACTGGTTTCCTGCTGTGTCGTTTCCTTGGCTTCGGCACATAGGAAGACTTACTAGCAAATGCACGTACGCTCACCCCACTTCCACAAGATTCGCTCTCAACGTGCCACAACAAGGAAAAACTAAGGCGCAGCTCGGTGGCTGGGAGCAACAGGAGGTTCGGGGACGCAAACATCGGCCAAACCGACCTGCACGGTACTCAGCAAGGCAGTGTGGACATGATGCACGCCGGCTCCGCTCGGGAAGTTGCAAAGTGACCGGGCCTGGGTGACTCGGCCCTCGGGGTACAGCCCCGCTACGGGGCCCACAAAGGGTCCCAGAATCTGCTTGCCAGGCTGCAGGCGCATGGAGAACTGCACCTCTGCAGTTATGAGAGGCTTCAAAAACACTGAAGAACACCACTGCTACCCCAGCCCACCTTCTCTTCCATATTCACCACCCCTTCCTTCGACTTCACGTCCTTCTCCGAAACGGCCAGGAAGCTGCCCACCACGGCGGAAGCCCTGTTGGAGAGCAGAAAGTCGATTGCACCAGCATCCGGGCCAGCAAAAGGTACCTGTGCAACTCGGAAAGCAGGGGTCTGGCTATTGGCTATCTGCCTCAGCAATGCTGACTATTTCAAAGAACGCGACATGACATTCAGCGCTGGCACCGCAGGCAACTAGCAGGTTCCAAACTGCTTCTTTGCTCCCCACGGAAATGCACAGGAACTTAGCATGTCAGCAAGGCTGCTGGGCGGTGGGGCAGGCTTAGGACAAAAAAATGACAGGAAGGCTATCGCAAGGTGCTTTAAAGATCGGTGAGAAAGAAGTCGTTAGACGACTGGTTTCAAGCTCTGGCAGATCCCTTAAAGCACGAAGGTTTGTGAATTACACAGGCTTCGTTGCACTGTCACTGTCCCAAGAAGGAGGCCAGAGTAAGACTGGACGAACCCCTGTAATAGGCTGCACGAGAATGAAAAAGCTTCTCTGAAAAAAAGCCGTTTGTCGCATTCAAGCGACAAGCAGATCACTCAACTGCCACTGACCAGGCTCACCTTGGATAGCTGTAGCGACGCTATTGCTGATGGATCTCCGGAGCTTCCTGTGGCTTGCTGTACAATCTTACTTCAAGCCGTCGCCAAGTTCTGCACCATGTCTGCATGCACAGCTCTGCACCGGTTGTCACAGCTCGGTGTGAAGCTCTCTTCAGCTGAAAATGGTGAGCAGAGGCTTCAACAGCGCATCCCAAGTCTCTGAAGGTGCCGTTGTCAGTTGCAGTCATCTTCTCTGCATGACGAAAAACCATGCACTGATCACCCTGCCTTCGTGTGATCGTCGTCCGTGCAGGCCGTTCGAGTTGCCCCAGACGACCACCTCCAAAAGCGTGCTCGTCATCTCTCACAAGCTACTGGTGACTTCCAGGCACAACTACAATGACTGCAAACATTGCGCCTCGATGCAGCTCGTCTATCCGCTTCATTACTACATGATAACACGCAGGATGCGGCTGGCTTCTTTCTGGCATGGCAGGATTCGGAGAAATCACAGGGCGCATGAAGGAAGGCACGGCATATCATCTGTGTGGCAAGATTCTTCGTTATCCTGTGCTGTGTGCCTGTTGCCGTTTGAATCCGACTCATTTCGCTCGGCCAGCACCGCCTCCCCCTCCCAGATGATCTCGTTCTGGCGAAGCTGCTTCACCCGAGTCTTGACCTGAGAAGGACCGGAAAGATCTCCAAAGAGAAAGCAGGCTTGGCAAAGCTCACTTCAAGAGAAGCCGAGGTCCATGCTGGAGCCTGGCTCGGGAGCAAGCCGAAGATGCTCAGCCACTCGGACTTGTGGAAGATGAAGAACTTCCCGCCTTCTTTCCTTAAGGAAGGCAGAAGAAGCGCAGCAGCATTCTCAACATCGGTTCTTATGAGACTGGCGGGTTTTCCTTCATGGAAACGCCAAAACCCTGAAGCAGCAAGGCTTGACCACGAGCCGTCGGGGGTGTGGGTCAGCACATGGGCAAGGGAAGCAAGAATAGGTGACAGCAAGATGCGTTCGGCTCACCGTCACAGCTCGTCGGGCGATCTCAGATGCGACGTGAAGCTGCGGCTTTCCTGGCGCCTTCACATTCACCTGAGCAATTGCGACACTTCATGACCTGGAAATTGACAGAACGCGCTCGCGCGAACTCGCAGCATCATGGGCTTCGGCAACTGGAGTAAGGGTTCGTGGGAGCAGAAGACTGCCAAACTGCTTAGCTACTTTTGGAACCATGTTCCTCGATGCGGTGAAACTCGCCTGACATGGCTCGCCACATGACACATCAAGAGTCTTGGGCCGCCACTGTACGCTTGTTGGTGAAGAAATCAAACCGTCGACCCCAGCCGCCGTAGAAGTTGCAGTATCCACCACCGTACCTCGCAGACACAAGCACACTCCCCGAATTCCCATCCGCTCCAAACCGTCGGTTCTGATGGGCTTAAGGCTGCGAACATGTTTATCGCTGTCCCACAGATTCTGCAAAATTCACAGCCACTGAAGCAAGGTGCTGTGTCATCCCGAGTATGTACTCATCACCATCCAAGTGCGCTTCTCCAGCGCAATTTCTCCAGTTACGACCTTGTCATGCATCATGTTAGCAGGGTCGTGTCTTCCAAACCTTGCTAGCTGAGCATGGCAGAGTGAGATCGTGTCCACTCGAACCAAGTGCAGCTCCGCAGCCCGCCACTTGCGACGGCGACTCAGATGAGCCGTCATCCAGCTCCAGGGCCCAATGGGTTAGACAGCGGCCTTGTGCTCAGAGCGTTTCAGACCTAAACTTATCCCCGTCTTGAAAACCCAGTCCCGGGCAGAAAGAGACGAAATACTCTGGCTTGCTGCAGGGTCGTATGTTCGAGCATCTCAACCGAAGCTCCGGGCGGTGTCACTACTGAGACGGCGAAGGCTCCTACAACCGTCGAGTTGGCGAAAAAGTACTCCAGACTCTAGACCCGAAGCCTCTACCTGAACAGATAGAAGCTTTCGCCGGGACACACCCCTCCCACACAATCTTCCGGACACGTCCAGCTGGATAGCAGGCTGCATCGAGCTGTCGACGGTAGCACGCACCGCCTGGAGCCCAGGAAGAAAGGCTGGGAGTGGGCAGCAACGTGATTTCGACCGAAAGTGTCTTCCTAAGCCACCTCCTTTGGCCCTGAGAACACGGGGCCTCGCCCATCCAGACCCATCTGCGAAGCAGCGACGGGACCAGTCCCCGTGCCGTTGATGAGTGTCCAAACCTTGCAGACAGGACCCAGTCCTTAAAATGGGAAGCAATGCTATGACCCTAATTTTGCAAATTAACTCGAATCTTGGGGACTGCGCAATTCAGGAGAAATCGTCAGGATGAAAAATGCTTTTCGATTCAAAGGGCACCCACCACCCACTGCGCAAAACCACCCAAGTGTACTGCGATGATTCTCGGTGCCGGCCTGGCGGTTCAGGCCTGGAGCATCGCTGCTGCCGGCACCAGCCTCTCAGGGCAGTCTGCAGGTTTGACAAATGGCTTCAGCGGCTTCAGATCGCAAAGCTGACGAGCTGCTCTGCCAGCCATGCAAAATGCAGACTTGTGCAAAACGACAGCCCAGATTCAACTATGCTTCCAATAGCTCTCAGTTCAAACAACAAGCCGACCAACATGCTGTGTCTTCGAAGCCTCAAGGTACAGGACACAGCCCACAGAATCCTTGCCAGTACAGTTTGGAATGCGGAATGCTGCAAAGACAGTGGGAACAATCGTTTGAGCAGCTCCGACGAGAAGTGCTTATACACGCAGGTCGGGTGTGTGAAACATCTCTTCCCGCGGGTGGTGTCTCAGGGAGGCATCTCCAAAAGATTTTGACGATGCTGAACCTTCCTCTATGAAGTTGCAGCCGTGTTTCTTGGAAACCCACGCCATGGCATGTGCCAAGCGCGAATGCATTGCACGAGTCCATGCACTCACCTTCGGCTGTGGAACGCCCGGCCAATCGGTTCGAGAATGAACTACAACATGCTGCTGCCCCCAAAATGTGCGCAACATCGGCCGCAAAGGAATCCTGGCACGCCCATGCATGAACCCAATGAGGAGGTTGTCCCTTTTTCCACATTCCAGCAATACACAGCCAAGTAGCCAAGTCCGAAGGCATAGGCTGGTTGCAGCCTTGCAGAGAGACTTCAACGGCACATACATCGTCCACTCCTACAAGACTTTGAAGCCATCACAACTTGCCTGCTGTATGGCACTCCGGCTGAGTCTGTACAGCGAGAGCCGGCACCAACCTGGCCCACATATTCAAACACATGCATACCCACAGCGCACATACACACCAACAGGTCAAACACACACACACACATACATACATCCATACATACATCCATACATACAAGAATACATACATACTTACATACCTATGTATGTACATACATGCCGAGGCACATTACACATACATACATACATATAATACAGATATGTATATATATATATATATACAGATAGGTATGGACATACATACCTACCTACATACATACCTACTCCTACCGATATATATACATGCAAACGTACATACAAAACATACATACGGTACATACATATACATTCAAACGCACATACATACCAATGGAAGAAAGAATGGCCGTCAAAGGCTAGGGATGCCAATGATGATAACAAGTAGCCGGCATCGGAACAAGGCGGTCGGAAAAAAGAGCAGAATCTTCACACTGCCGCAGAAATGGCGGTCTCCATGGTCGCGGTGACAATTGCCATCATCGTTTTCATCAAAGCATAGGAACCCACCCCCAGAACAACAGAACAACAACAAGAACAACTGCAACAACACAACCACAACAACAACGACAAGGAACTAACACTGGTCCTGTACAGGCGGGTATGCATGTGCATTGCACACAGAGGTCAATATTTATACAGACAGACACACATATTATGTGTATGTATATCTTATATATATATATATATTAATTATTGCACCCAAAACAGGCAGCTCTGATTGCACCCAAAGTCCATAGGAGATTAATATGTCATGTGAGATCGACAGAAAGAACAAACAAAGAGACGAGGAGACAAGTGGACATACAGATGCATGGATTAATCTGCGGAGAGTGGACAAGGGATTGTACAAACGAACGGACGGGTGCATGGATTCAGCAGACAAATCTAGAAGCAATTTGATAGATTGATATGTGGTAGACAAACACAACATATAGCGAAGCGGGGAAAGAGAGAGAGAGAGAGAGAGAGAGAGACAGAGAGAGAGACAGAGAGAGAGACAGACACGGAGAGAGTGATAGCCAGACTCTAGACGGGTAAAGAGGCAGGTAGATTCAATAAACAAATAGATAAACAACATGAGGTAGATATATGAATACATACGTAGGCAGGTATATCAAAACCAAACATATGGACATGTTCACATATACACAGTCGCAAATACACATGCACGGGGGCAGACATCACATGAATCAGCACGGCTGTTCACTCCAGGTGCCTGCTTGTAGAGGAATCCACTGCGGCTCACCTGCAGGAGCTCACGAACTCCAGCTGGACTAGCTGAACATGCCCATCGATGGCACATACTCTCCCAGAGTCAGAGATGATGTTACTCGCCATGTCAGCCTCAACCGGCCCGAAGTATTCACCGTTGAGGTGGAGAGGCAAAGCTGCAGAAGCATCCACGCGCAAGGACTCCTGCAATTACACGTGCAGATGGGCCAGTATGAGCTTCATACGATGAAAGCGAAAACCACAACGAAGTTACAACATGTGATCAGACAGCACGCACAAACCAAGAGAGCAGTTCTTGACACAAGTGTCGAAAGAAGCAGAACAACTCGCGCATGCAACCCTGCCGAAACAAATGCTCTCATATTCCCAAGCTGTGTCAACAAGAGCGAGGAGACGGGCCCACTGAATTCTACTCAAATTGTTGTTGTGAGGCCACGACACGAGTCCAATCAGTTCAACAACAAAGATCACCTGTTGCCTGGGCTTACTCGTTCTGCCCAAGTCCTGATCCAATTCCAGCCCTGCACTGAGCAGGCAAATGGCACTGACCTCGACTGCCATCACACAGCTTCAGAACTCTCGTCTGCACATGCAAGTCGATCTGCGAATTCAACATCAGTGCATGCTTCCCTACAGAAAACAACTCCCCTAAACGACTCCACCTTGAACAAACATCACCTTACGAGGCAAGTGTCTGCGAGGAGATAAATCCTCATTCTCACCACTGGATCACTGGCGCACTACGAACGCGCGCAAGCAGCCGACGTCCTGCCCAAGCATGGTTGAATCTTTTCGTTCCCATGACACCCATGTCGACACACTGTCCTTTGTGATTTCATAAGATGTCCACCGGGAGGGATGGAATGTATACGCAACAGACTACTCGTGGAATTCTGGCGCATTACCACCAGACTTGGGCCAAACCCCACGAACATGCTGTTGTGGGTCCTGGGGCCTGTGACGTGTCCGTAGCTGACAACTTTTCGCAGCTGCAGTTGAGACTACCACAACTCGGCTATGTTTGTGCCACCATTGTTCCACATCAAGAACGAAGCCGTGCTTGCAAGGCGGTATTACACTTTCACTACACGTCACATGACTCCTCATGTCCATTTCCCAAATTACGTTGTCTGGTTGCAGGTCTGATGGTCGTTTGTGACCTTTTCTTCGCAAAGAAACTCCGACATGTGCAGCATGCTCGCCAGGGACACGTTTGAGCATGAGAACCACTGTGACCTGGCTCCAACAAGGGCAAAATCTGCTTCGATCGAAACTAAGACAGGAAACGCAGCTTGAACAGAAGCACCTGTCACCGTCACCTTCACATCCCATGACGACGATCGGAACAGTCATGCTACAACAGTCATGGAAGCCCGCAACAAGCGAGTTCAGTAATAATCAACGTCAGGTCGGTGAGTCAGGTTGCGCACTGAAAGTTGGACACATAAAACATGAAACACAAAATGGCAGACACAGACCCGTCCGAGTCCCGCCGCGATCCAACTTGAACAAAAGTCAGCCCTGAACCTGTGCTTTTCGCGGAATGCCAGTCTTCATCGCCTGCTACGGGGCTGCGGCTAGGGCGAGCGAAAAGTCTGCAACCATGAGGCTGAAACAACAAAAGGGAAACAAAGAAGGCCTCGTCGGGAAACAGTAACGGCCGAGTGAATGAGGAAGCAGGAGCAGTCGGGAACAGGCTAGACGAGCATCGTACAAGGATCCGGCCCTAGTCACGAACCAACGAATAGATTCCGAAACCCAAAATTCTAAAGGAGCGAACCCCGACCTGACAAAACACGAAAAACGCTAAGAAGAATGGGTGGCAAGCTCAAATACCCCGAAAGCACCGAATGGCCCAGAATCCCAATTTCCTACATCAGTGCCTCCCTGCCCCAACAGCCCAAGACCTAAACCCTGAACGGAGTGGTTGCTTCCCCAAATCCAAAGCCCCACAGCCTCAAAGAGCGAGGGGTTGTGGGCAAAACTTATCCCAAACATCAGTTACAATTCCGGAAAACCCAAGCGAGTGGCAGCAATGACTGGCTTAACAACCAATTTAGCCTCAGAACCTCGTACCGGGTGGATGTAAGCGGTTTTGGGGGCAAGGGGGAAGAGTTGGGGAGGAGTTGGGGAGAGGGGTTGGCGGGGACTGCCGAGCCGGAGTGGAGGGGTGGGTGAAGAGTTTAACCGCGACAAACCGCAAAAAAGAACTCTATCTTTGTGCGTGTGTGTTGGTCTTCTCGGCCACGTGGAGCCTGGCGAGACACCGCCTGACAAAGAGATCCGAAATCGCTTAGCTTGCGTTGTGGCGTGGCGAATCTTGCAACAGGAATTGTATGAACAGGTTAAACGATTGCCACCCAAAGGTGAACAAAAAGCCCATCGAATGGAGCAGTGAACGGTTGCGAAATATCCCGAACCTTATTGGTTCACGAAGAACGCAGATCCCCAATTCCATAGGGCTGCCTGCACTTAGCAGACTTTCACTTGCGCCCTTTACAGCGTTGGCGCCTGAAGCTATCCTAACATTTAACCTCTGCTATCTCAACACTGATTTGCTGGCATCTTACCAGCACTTATCTCCAACACTTTATGCATTGCTGGCACGCTGGTATCCTGGTAACGTGCTACTCGGGATCCTAGTAACGGAGCACTTGATTCCGGGTATCCTCACAATTGGGATCCCGCCAAACTATTCGGATAGTTTCCAGCTACAGGAACGGAATGACAAATTTCCCACAACCAGGGTCATGCCATCAACGAGCATATAATTCGCCTCTATTGAGGCTCTCTTGCGGAAGCAGAAACAAATTCCGTCCGTACAACAGTAAAGATTGATTGAAGTCTATGCAATGCAATATTGCACTTACGCATCGCACTTTTGACCTATTTACACACAAGAATGCGAATTCACATCGCTGAGCTCTTGTACGATGGCATTCACCCACTCGTGCGAGCGAAAATCATTGATGGTGCTTTCCGGCGGCCAAGTCGGGTCTGGAGATTCCAAGAGACTGACATTCTTTCAAATCAAATGTCGGGTTCATGTGCTGGAACCTAAAGATCATGTGCTTTAGCAGCGGATGAACAAAATACAACACAAAAAACGATCGCTCGACAATTGTTTCTACATCGGCCGATAATTGACCACACTTTGGAGAGTCCCATCAACGCCTGCACAACATAAGGCAAATCACTGCAACAGGAACATCCGATGATGGCTGCAAATTGTAACCTCTGTTGTGTTACCTGATCCAGGCACGAAGCATCCGTGCACACATCGGAGCATCAGGACACTCCATCAGCAAAACTTTGAATAATCTGGGAGTAATGGATGTTCCTCCTCCATTGGAAACGCAGAAAATGACGCTCACATATACGGTAGCACCAACTTGCACCTCGGTCTGTTTCAGTCCGGAACTCTCAAACGTCCAGGCAAGCATCACCAAGCGATTTCGGTTGTTTTCGCAGTAATGTGGCCTGAAAGGCCATTGTTAGCCGTCTGTGATTAACAATCAGACAAAGATATATGGTAACGGTGACGCAATGAACCGTGCTGTGAACACCCCGCGGCGTGGCTCCGCAGCCTTTCATCGCCGTTGTGTTTCTGTTTCCACGCAATCGCCCACCCCCCCTGTACCCCAACCCAGCCGCGACAAAGAAACTAAACCCGAAAAGCTGAATAGTCCCAAACCAAACCTTCCACCCACATTAGATAACGCGAACCTCAAGCAACCTAAAATCCAAAACCCTAAACTGCCAACAACCGTACACACACCCAACCAAACCTCAAGCCAGAAAAAACAAAGCCCCAAACAAAAGAACCCAAAACCTCTCACAATACCAGCCATAAACCTTAAGAGCCCCAACCCACACCCTCAACCCTGAACTCTAAATAACCCAAAACCTACACAATCACAAACCTTAAACCCTGAACCCGTAAACCCTTCTAATTCCCAACACTGAAGCCCGTTAGCCCCAAACCCTAAACGTTCGATCCCAAAAACTCAATCTAAACCCTAACAATTCAAACGTTCAACACCGAACAACCCCCAAGCCTTAACCAAAATACACCAAACCCTTGGAGAAAAAACATCCAAAATCAAGGAATTGCGACCAGAAATCATGAACAATCCCAGTAATTAAACCCTAAAAGCAAACCCGATCTTCAACCAACCCCAATATTTAACTCAGTACACCCAATTCTAAACAAATGAAACATTAAACGAAACGTCCGATTTGTTATGTGATTTAGCTTTCTCACGGCGACTGGCAAACATCGCACAATATGCAAACAATGCAAACTGACATGTGCGTCACGCTGGTCGAATACTCCCCGGCTTGACGGATTCGTCTTTGGCCACGCTGTGGCCACAAGAGATGGTTGCACGAGTCCGATTTGAAAGTTTGAACAAGCCAACTGATTGAGTGAGTGATCCTGCAAGCTACTATCCGGCAAAGTGTCTCCCGCAAGAGGACACAATCCCAAACCAAAATCTCCGAAAAGCGTTATTGAACGGATATGGTTCTTAGCGCTAAAAAAACAACGAAGGCGCATGAAAACAAAAAGCAAAGTTCACGAATTAACAAAGCTTAAGCGAGTTGGTAAGAAGGTTCAACATGCATATGTCAGCATCACCTAGCACGGCCTTCGAGAGGAGCTGCTATGTGCCTTCTGAAGGTCGCTTCCACATTTTCCTTACCGAATGTGAGCAAAAGAGAGATTGAGAGCGAGCGGTGAGTGAACATGCTATGCAGTCAAAGATGCAATCACTCAACTTGCAATGCGAACGATCACTTGCGCATCTTCGTTTTCTTCTCGACAACGGGCACAGGGGTTAGTCTCGTCGGAAGCATGGAGGGCGGAGCCGAACGAACGTCATGCCACCACATCCACAACAGCAATGCGTGACACAGGGTAGGGTGGGTGGGACAAAACACGCATTGGTGAATGTACACAAGGGTTTCCCGCCCTCCCTCCCCTGAAGGGGAAAAGTTACAGCCCAGCAAGTGTTCACAAAGAGCAACACATTGACATGGCTGAAAACCAACATGCTTGGTTTTTAAAACGAAAGCTTTCAAACCCATTTTCGAACGGAAAATGAAGGATTCCTCTCTTCGAGACCCAACCATATTTTCCTTGTCTAAAACCGCATGTGAGCAAAAGAGAGATTGAGAGAGCGAGCGGTGAGTGAACATGCCACGCGTCAAAGATGCTCACTCAATGTCAATTTGCAATGCGAACAATCACTCGCGCATCTTCGTTTTCGTCTCGAAACGGGCACAGGGGTCAGCAGTCTCATCGGAAGCATGCTGTAGAGGGAGCCGAACGAAAATCCACAACACAGCACCACTCCACTTGCAAGCAGTGTCTTTCCAGACGGTATGAAACTGACTGGGTTGCGAAAGCTTCGCTGAAAACTCGACCACGTCGGTGATGTAAGTTTTCAAGTTGCGGTCTTGCAGTTTGCAGGCATTCTCCTTGATGTTCTTCTTCACGTGTTGAAGATCCCGATGGATGCATGCACCTGTGAAGCAGTGCTGCATAGCTGCAAACGCACCCGCATGGCCGTCGAGAAAGATGTTGCTCACCTTTGCCGGGTTCACACCCGTCTTGTCAATGAAAGCCTTGCACAAGAGATCATACGCACTCTCATCTTCAGCTTCAGAGACACTGAACACCACAGGCCAAAACCGACACCTCACCTTTCCATGGTCATCTTTGTGAAGTACTGCAAGTCCCAAACTTCCAAGAACCAATCTTTGATGGTTTGTCTGGTAGGTGCAGTCGGAGATCAAAATGATTCTTTCACTTCCTGCCATGTACTCCGTGGCGGCCTGCATGTTGGATGCCTCAAAAAAGGCAAGGCGATCTTCATCTTCGGAGACTGTAGCGTTCATGCTCTCGAATACAGACACCGGTGCTGGCGGATTGTTCAAAAAGTCTTTCAACATTCCCACCAGTTCCACACAGAACTTCGCCTGTTGTTTTCAAGTACCTGTGGCGTGAACCATCCAAAGCACGAGTCGTTGGAATATGTGCCTCGGGCACGTTGTCCGCGACCATCTGCTTCTTCGCAAGAGTTGAAGGAAGATGACTGTACTTCCTTTTCAATATGGACTGCTCCACCTGTCAACATACACTCAAGCCGAATGTATTTGAAACCAACAAGTTTCTGATTTTTCTCCCTATTCTTATTCACAAACCAACGCACCTCCAACTTTGGCCGCCCGTCATGCTTCTGATCTTTCTTGTTGCACTCCACAATGAAAAACCTGTCACCTTCTTGCACAAGACCGAGCAAGTGTAGTTTCTCTTGCTTCAGGAACATGAACCTGTAGGCCAAACCACAATCGTCATGTCTGTAGCAATGTACGAGAAGCACGGAAACAAAAGGGTAAGTTTGTGACACAAACAAGAAGAAGCTGAGTTGGTGAAATTTCGCTTATGCCAGTGTGAGTGCGGTGAGTGAGGTGAGTGAGATCAGTGGTGAGTCAGTGGGTGAGTGGCTGAGTGCCGGGAAAGGGCTTTGCAAACATTTTTCAATTTGCAGTGGCGCGGAACGCGGCTTTTTAAACGTGGCCGAGGAAATGCAAAACTGCTGAAGCATTTGCTGAACACTGGAAGAAAGAGCCAAAAAGAAGAAGAACTTGCTGGAAAGGCTTTACAAACAATTTTCCAAATGCAGTAGTACGGACTCTGCGGCTTTTCAATTGGAAAACAGGTGTGGGAATACTTGCTAAACACTGGACCAAAAAAAAAATTTGCTGAATGAAACCTTAACATTTGAAGGATGCAATTGCTCGGTGTTGGGACGTGGATAGGTTCTGGAATCAAGAGACATTTGGCCCGCACTAGTGACTTGTACTCTCCTTTGCACTGGAGAGCAAGTGCTTGAGGCCATCTACTTGAGTAGTTCATCCAACAGGAACTTCCACTAGATGCAATTGGAGAAGTGCAGCCAGTTGTCTTTGCCGTCGACCTGGAATTGTTGCGGAGTTGCCTTAAAGTCCTTCTCGTCTTTAGGCGGAACGCAGTTGCTGGCAACGGCGGCAACACTGGGCGACAGCAGTCTGGGCGGATGCTTCACTGCGTTCAGCAGTGCATTGAAAGCTTCCATCTGGAATCAGACTCAGCTTCTTCAAGTGCAGTTGTGAGATTGCCAGTTGGAAGGTAGAAAAAGCAGACAAACTTTTGCTGACTGAGACAATGCCAGCGATCAAAATCTGTTTGGCGGACTCTGGAAGAAAGTCAGAATGAAGGAATCTTTTTTGGCGTGAATGGGCCTCGTCGACTACGGCTGTAGCACTCGGTCCCTACAAGCAAACTAACAAACTACAAAGCACAGAACTACAAAACAGTGAGACAAAAGCGAAGCTCTGCAAGCTGCGGCGCACAGGCTTTGCCGGTGGGAGCCGTTCAGCAAACTACGAAGCCTCAGCGACCGATCCGAAGCAACAAAGAGCCGTCGCTCTGAGCCGCCCAAAGCAGCAGGTGGAGCCAAATCCAAGCTCCGGGAGCCGTTCTAGTCTCGACAGACAACGGACAGCCCCTGTGCTTTGTTTCATCACGATCGAGCACACCAAAATCCAAAAGTCCAACGCCCACCGCGGCGAGCGGCTTCTAGACATGATGCGGAGCCAGAGTCGTCGCGACTCAAAGCCGGTCAGATGCGACCGCACCCCGAGGACGAGACCAATCGAGTCACGGTGTGCAATAGTGGCGAATTGGATGCCGGCGTCCAACGCCGCCAATCGCCGCCCACAAAGCGTGTGGCCAGGCCAGGATGCGGGCCGTAGGGAAAAACTTGTTGTGCGTCGAGACCCAGCACAGCGCAACTCAGGAACGTTCCAAGAACGGCAACGGGTCGCCCCTGACGAGGCTTGGGCCAAGGCAAGACGGTGCGGCTGCTCGGATGGGACGGGCCCCTGCCGCGACCTGATGCTGGTGGCTTGCGAGCTTGTACCCGGCGCAATCCTCCGTGCAGTGGCTCATTCCATTCCCGGCATTGTGGCTGGACTCGAGGCGCGCAGGGAAGCTGGGCACATGGACGACGCGCCCGCAGCTGCAAGGCAGGTTGCCATGAAAGCTGCACCTAGTCTCGGATATATTTGGATTCGTAACGACAGTGACGGCACAGAGATCATTGTCATAGGCTTTTCAGGGCCTGATCCGAAAAGGACCTGCCTCAGGGCCTTGGGCATCCTAACTGGTTCGGACGAGGGCTTGGTTGCTGCAGCAACTGCAGCCAAGGTCCAGCAAATAGATCTGAAGACGCGGTTGAGAAGCGGCTTCGACCGGGAGGCGGGTGAGGAAGAGAACCCGCTTGATGACAGCTGCACCAACTGTGTTCAAGGACAACTTGCGGTGTGCCGCAACCACGGAGCAGGGCGGCCAAGGTTCCCCCCCCCGTCCGCTACAATGCGCAAGGTCAACATCGGCAGGTGTGCAGACTGAGCGCACACAGTGTGTGTCGCCGATGCAATGCATGGGGGAAGCCAAATTGGGTCGCCCAAGACAGTCGAGGTCATGGTAAGAGTCTGGCCGTGCTGAGGCCAGCATCCACGCGCCCCAGGCTGCTTGGCGAGTGCAACAAGGCCCAAACAAGAGATCCACCAGGCAGCAAAATGCACCCTGCTGACTGCAATAGAGGGAAGGTGCGGGGTTCTGCCCATGCCTGCCGTTGAGCAAGTCGAAGCCCGAGGAATGACGTTGGCCGGATCCTCGCTCTACGCACATACCAAGGCAAGAGGGAAGGCCAAATCATGTCAATAACGGACATCGACGTATGTCGACGTGCCGGCAAGGTTAGGAGTCGTGAGGGGAGAAGAGCACAGCGCAGACGTCCCTCCTTGGCCCCAAGTCCAATGGCCCAGAAAGTGCGGCGCGACCAGTTGGCGTCGACCCTCAGCTGCTCGGATGGAACGGGCCCCCCTCTGCCGCTACTTGATGCTCAGAATGAAGGAATCTGGAGTTTCCACGCAGCTTGCATTGTTCCAGGGACGGCAAGAAGGAAGGCAGCCAACTTGACTGCGCAACTCCGCGGTGAACACAGGTTCTTTGCAGGCGCCTGTCTTCGGATCGGACGAACCTCTTCCAAGACGCTAAAGCTGTCCAAGACTGCTGGTGGAGCCCAAAAGTCAAAGTTCCGTCGAACAACGGTCAGCTCCGGAGTTGTGTCACGATCGTGCACACGAAATCCAAAATTCAGATCTGTGTAGAAAGTACAGTTGCAAATCCGCTGGTTGAGACTTCTGGCTTTTCAATCTTGCGTCTGCATGATGCCCAAAACTGCGGGAACAAAGGCAGGCAGGCGCACGCCCGAGATCCAGCTGGTTGGCCCCGAACATTTGCGATTTGCGACCCCAAAAATGGGGCCGTTTCGCGGCCCCGAAAATAGGGCTGCGACATGCGCCCGGCCTTATTAAATATATAGTTTGAGCATGAGTTGGAGGCTTGGAACCCCGACCCCAAAAATGGAGCCGCCAAACGGCCCCATTTTGGGGGGTCGCGAATTCTTCTACTTTGAGGCACGTCCGCCTGACTGCTACACAACAAGGCGACTGTGGCACACAGGCGCGCGTCCAGCTTGGAAAAAAACAAGCTTTCAGGATTAAGGCTTCCAAGCCTTGCTTTCTTATGGAAGTACATTAAATCAACATGAAAGAAACGGGCACAGGGGAGGCCCGCTCAGAAGCCAGAATTGCTGGACTTTTCCACCCCTACATTTGGAGTCGCGAAGCTTGCGATTTTCACCAACAGTGCAAAGCCTCTCGAACCGTCATTTGTGGGGTTTCGAGACAGAAACTGAAGCCTTCCAAAGCCTCCCTCGTGGGTTCGGGGCTTACAATCTTACCGTAGTCTCTGCAGTCTTCTGGTCTTGTAGTTCCTGCAGCTTGCAGCTGTCCCTGCTATCTTGTGCTTCACGTTGGTAGATTTCTCGGCTTGCGCGTGTCATCCTTGCGCAGGGGCCATGCTAATCTTCTCTATCTCGTTCCTCCACCTTCGGAAAGAACACGGCAAACGAGAGTGCCTCAACTGCTGAAGCAGTGCGAGCTTCGCGAGAACATGCTTTGATTCATGCATGCTTTCACTGAAGAAGTGTTGACACCGTTTGGGACATGACCTGGACTACAATGCTAAAGGCAGCTCCATGCACAAAAACCGTGCATGGGTCCCGCCTCGCCGTTGATTTAAACTTTTAAAACCTAAACGGGGTGTGGGACCCGGCCCTAGAAAAATGGGACCCGGTTGGACCCAGGTGGGACCCGGATGGGACCCGGTGGTCGATGGTGTCGGCGGACACCGGCCAAGGGTCGACCTGGCCCTGGTAGGACAGAGCCATCCACGTCTTAAGCCTGGACGCGTACGGCCCTTTTGAGGTCTCCGCCAGGTACCCGTCACGGAGCTCCTCCACGGAGCGGTTGCGGTTCGCCGGCAGCAGGGCGTCCAGGGCCGCCCGCAGGTTAGCCCGCAAGGGCACCCGCCGTCGAGGGACGTCGGGCCGGCCCGGCGCGTGGGCCGACGATATCACAGCCAGATCCGTCGCCACAGCTGGCGGCGGCGGGGCGGCCAGCAGCGCCTCAATGGCCGCCGGCGGAACGCCCGCGGCTGCCAAGGCGTCGATGCGAGAGAAGAGGTCGGGGATGCACTTCACCCCAGCCGCCCGGACAGCCGGCAAGTGGTCGGTCTGGCCCGCCCGGTGCGCCAGGGCGACCAGTTCGGCGAAAGAGCCCCGAGGCGGTTCCGCCATGCCGGCGATCACCTTAGAAGCTGAGCCGAAGGGATCCGCCAGGCCCTGCGAGGGGCTTGAGCAGTCGAGCCGAACTTAAGGGAGGGGGGGGGGAGAGGCACACACGCAGAGGCTTCAGACTTTTGACCGCGCCCGCGAAGGCGGTGAGAGGTGCAAACGGGCGGGCGCCCAATGGGTGAGACGGCCGCGACGGCAAGGATGTGGGACCCGGATTCGATCTGGCTAGCAAAGTATGGGACACGTGACAACCAGATAAAACTTCTTGTGTGGGAAACATGGGACCCGGTGACACCCCGATAAGACCCGGCAAGCAAAAAACGGGATTCGGTGACGCAGAAGGTGGGACTTGGATGGGCCCGGTGGGACCCGGTTGGGACTCTCGCAAAAAGCGGGACCTTGTGACCGCTCAGATGATGTGGCCTCAAAACCACACGTTGATGTGGCTTGAGAACCACACGTTAAGTGGTCTTGATGTCAAAACCGCACGTTTGTGGCTTATGTGGCTTCAAAGCCACACGTTTGTGGCCCGGATGTATTAAAGGGGTCACCAGAAGCCTCGGACCTGAACGAACACGGGG